CCCCAATACCAATTCCCGCCGGAGAGCATTGAATCCTTTGAAACGCGCGAGTAAAAGAACATGGGAAAAAAAAAGAAAAAAAAAAAATGAGAAACGATATCTCGACCTGCAATTTTAATTGCCGTGCATACTGGAACCCCGGGGACCCAGTTAGTGCGGTAATGCACATTACCCGTGACTTCACTCTGCCGTTTTATTTTATACATCCACCTATCCCCGTTCGCTCCTCGCTACGTTTCGCACGTTTCTCCCGAGGCTGGAATTTTTATATCGCGCTACGGCTAACCTGGCAGGACTGTTCATAAATAACGCCTCTAAGCCTGCGAGGCACTCGATAATAATTAAATGGCCTGCTTTCATTCCCACACGCTTCATTCTCCCCGCAAAGCGCCATTTTCCCGTAAATCTTTCGCGTATCGAAACCTCGAGCGAGGCGTTCGAGGTGCAGAGAATGCACTTTCCATAAATTAATTGTTCCCACACCGACAAAAGATCCGCGGCTAACTCCTGGGGCGACGGTCGATCCTTCAAGAAATTCTTCCATCGAATCGCGTGAATAATTACAAAAGAAAGTTACCGCTTTACGTGAAAACGAATTTCCCCTGAATTACTTCCAAAGAAGAAGACTGGTAAAAAAGAAAAAAAAAAAAGGCGAATCGCTAAGAAAGAGTATTCCAAACACGTGACAGGCCAAGAACTGCCTTTTAATGATACAACATCAACAATTGCAAGAACATCTAAGACGAAAATAAACGCATGAAATAAAATTAAATTCGAGGTAAAACCGAGTGTCATTACCAAGGCAACGAATTTCACCCGGTATTTAAATTTCCTTTTACAAGAAGAACAGCATGATAAATCAATAAGCATTGACTCATCTCGAGATAAGAAACTTCAACGACCGTTAACGAAATCATGTAACCGGCTGTAGGCTGACTAGAATTTAAATGGCTCGGATAAACATTTACCGAATAATCCAGCTAGGCCTATCGACTTCGGATAAACTCACCTAAATCTCGGAATATCTTTCAGATGTCGGGAACGAGTTATAAGAGAAAGAGAGGGAACTCGGGTCAGACCGGATCCCTGATAAAGTCCCGCGGGTTCTCGTTATTATCTCCGGCACTGGCGGAAGTCACAGCTGGGCAACCGCGCTTCCTTTTCCTTTCGCTCCTTGGGCCAGCCGTAAATTATTCTAGTCTCGTGTAAACATTAAGGCCAGAATCGTTTATACGTTCCCGAGGCAGCGACCGAAGGCCCGGCCGACGGCTACCAAACCTCTTCCCGTAGAAAGCAGCGGATAAGGACGAATAATAAATTACGCCTAGCCGATATGTACCGGGCTTTCGATTTCAACCAACTAAATTGACGACTTTACTTCCGGCTTACCCGATTCGCGGAAAACTTCCACCTCGAGTAATGGTGCCAAGTAATAAAAATGAGAACTGCCTGGAAATGCGGGAAAGGCAACGACCGTGACATTAAAAAATAAGAAAAAAATTCTCCTTTCTTGAAATGAAAAAAAAAAAATAAAGACATTTCCGCGGTTTCTCGAATCGTTTCCCGATCTCGGGCGAGTGGTGTTCAATCGTCGGTTTTCGTCGCTCTCAAATTTTCTACCCCTTTCCCCCTAATTTTCCGAAACCCTCGAATTTCCTCGGCAATCCCTCCAAGTGCTCTCTGTCTATCTATCTCTCTCTCTCCTTCGAAGGAACTCGGTGCAGCTTTACATTCGGGCAGCTTCTTACTTAAATAGACGTCCAATCCAAGGCTCTCGATTGATTTGTAAGCGATCGATCGATTTCCTTGCGGAGTCGTTTCGTCGGCTCGAGGAACATCCGTCATTAAACATTGAATTTCCGGTCCAAATGGTCTACATAATGAATTAAGCCAAATGTAGAATGCCTTCTTCCGGAATGTATAAATCCAACCGATTCAATCTCGAGGCGCATAAACTTTGATCGATTACGTTAAATCTCGAGACGAGCCTTCGTAATAATGGATACAGGTGGTACGCGAGATATTTACTAAATCGTGTACTAAAATTATGAAAACTCCGTCCCGAATTTCTTGTTGAGATAAATTGATTTCTTGGGTTTGCTGGACACAACGGACCGTGAAAAGATTTCCCTCCTCGTCGTGAATTTCGAGGAACTTCGAAAAATTTAGAGAATGGGAAGTTCGACGGTTCCCATATAGATAAATGCTCGATAAAAAGGAGCGAAATCATCGTTAGAGATTGCGTTCGCGGTGTAAACCGGAACAACGGAGAGAGTTTGAGAGAACGTAGCATGTACAATTCAAGGCGGCCTATGCATCATTTAAATACCCCATTCGCTGAATTTAGCTTCCAAGGGGGATATCTGCTCGTCCAATGTTTAACAGGACAAATTTTCAAACTACTGTGGCCATAAATAAACCCTCAATATCAACTGGTCATACATAGTATAAATAATACACCAAAATTTAGTTTACCCCCGAATCGTCATAACCTAATCACGAAATGTACATTCCAACATTAATTCATAAAACGTATAACGTCGTATAAATAATCATCAAACATCGTATAAATAATACAAAAAAATTTAGTTTACCCCCTAATCGTCATAACCTCATCACGAAATGTACATTCCAACATTAATTCATAAAACGTATAACCGTATAAATAATAATCAAACATCGTATAAATAATCATCAAACATCGTATAATACAAAAAAATTTAGTTTACCCCCGAATCGTCATAACCTCATCACGAAATGTACATTAAAATATTAATTCATAAAACGTATAACCGTATAAATAATAATCAAACATCGTATAAATAATACAAAAAAATTTAATTTACCCCCGAATCGTCATAACGTAATCACGAAATGTACATTCCAACATTAATTCATAAAACGTATAACACTGTATAAATAATCATCAAACATCGTATAAATAATACAAAAAAATTTAGTTTACCCCCGAATCGTCAAAACCTCATCACGAAATGTACATTCCAACATTAATTCCTAAAACGTATAACGTCGTATAAATAATCATCAAACATCGTATAAATAATACAAAAAAATTGAGTTTACCCCCGAATCGTCATAACCTAATCACGAAATGTACATTCCAACATTAATTCATAAAACGTACATAATATATTCTTCGAGCATTCACAAAATTATAGCAATGTTATAAAATTGTATTACAACCTTGTGCACTAAAAGTGCATGAATTTTTTTTTTTTTTCTTTAACGGTGTACTTGCAGAACTTTGGAATAACGAGAGTCGAGGTGATTACGTCGCAAAGGGTTTCGGCGTTTCGGGAATAGAGCGTGCAACCGACCGAGAAAGAGAGAGAAAGAGAGAAAGAGTGAAAGAGGGAGAACGAGGGGTTACGTGGGCCAGGACCAACAAAAACGAAATCAGCCAGGCTTACAAGGACAAGGCTGAATCGCTCCCGACTAATAACTTGGACAGTTTCGCCGATTCCTGACAAGGCCTACCTTCTTCATGGCCGATTGGCTGAACATATATAAAACTGATCAATACAGGAATAACTAACTGCATTTCTATTTTCCTGCTTACTAATTCATCATAGTGTTCGACACGGTGCAGCATGTTCTTTCGTTTTTTAGCCTTGCCCCCATTAAGCCAGTTTTGCTATTAGATATTTTGTTTAACCAGTTCGATCGATACAGGAATACCAAACCGCATTTCTATATTCCTGCTTGATAATTCTGGTAATTAATCGTAAGTATTAGACAAGGTCAAGCATGTCCTTTCGTTTTTTGGCCTTGCCCCCTTTAAGCCAGTTTTGCAATTAGATATTTTGTTTAATCAGATGTTAGCTTATTTTACGCAGTTTATTCGTGATATTATCACGGTCAAACTCGTTACTTTGTCCACGTCTTTGTTACGATATAGCTCATAGATTATTTGCATGATATGAGCGGATTGGACCAGCCCAAATTCGACCGATACATGTTACTTTTTACAGACGTAGGTACACTTTATGCGTGTCCGATCTGATCTGATGGATAAAGTGTAACGACGTCTACAAGTAATGTTTCAGATCTGGTCTGATCTCAACTGATCCAGATCAGCTGTAATGCAGCTCATGGATTATTCCAAACATGATCGGATTGGACCAGCCCAAATTCGACCGGTACATGTTACTTTTTACAGACGTAGGTACACTTTATGCGTGTCCGATCTGATCTGATGGACAAAGTATAACGACGTCTACAAGTAATATGTTTTAGATCTGGTCTGATCTGAAGTGATCTAGATCAGCTGTGACGTAGCCAGTCTTAAGCAGCACTTACAGCCCTTGAAAAAGAGACAGAAAGGACTGGCAAGAAATCCCCATAAACGATTCAATTAACCTCACCCCTCCTCAACTCTCCTTTAATGGCAATTGAGATAATTACCAAAGCGCAGAAACGACGTTGAAACTTGTCAATTAATTCCACAATTTTCCGTAAATAGATACTCAAATATAATACGAGACTGAACTAGAAAAGTAATATTATTTATAAAGATTAATCGATTAATCACGCCCCTTCTCTTGTAAGGATAAATGAAAGAATTATTAAAGCATAGAGATAACGTTGAATCTTGTTTAAAGGTCAAACCACTTATGATTGGACCCTAAAAAATGTAAAAGAAATAGCTTAAAGAAATAGCATTATTTATAACAGTATGTACCAAGGACAATTACCCAAAATTCCTGCAAAAACCCGGAGAGCTGGGTTCCTTCCTATTTCTTTCATGATAGAAAAGAAATAAACCAGAACGCACGTAATTAAGGTACCCAAATGTCTAGGAAGCATGAAAACGACGAAAATGGCCTTTCACGAAACCGTAAAAAAATCTGCGAAATCTGTGAAATAATCGGGCGAGAAGCAGCGCGAGAAGCTCGGATGGGAAAACGAGAATAGGGGAATATGGAAATAGGGGTAAACGAATTATTTATTATTACTTGAAAACAGTCGGGTAAACTCACTCAGTCGGTCAGTGGTCGGGAGATCGGGTCAAGCGTTGCTTGGTCCTGGTTGAATCGTCCCTCGTGTCGATCGATACGTTCCTGAGGAATTGTGACCTCGTCTCGTCCTCGAGGACCGTACCGGCGGCTTTATGGATTAGCACCCTCGGAACGTCCCGAGGGATAACCTAGACTTCTGGACGGATGGACTGCCGCTACCGGGCGGCCTCGAGCCAGACTTTTCGGACGCTGCGCGAAAAGGCGCCGACGCCGCTACCAGCGTCCGATGCACCGCGCGATACATGCGCGTCTCTTGCGACCCTCCTCCACCTTCGCTCGTGTGCCTCGGGTATGTACGAATCGCCAGGCGCACGACGACGGCTTTCGCACGCGCAACCGCCGAAAAACGAACTCAACGAAGCAAGGGGCGACGGCGAACTGAACCGAACCGAACGCCGAACGCGGGAGACGCGGCGACACTGTACGGCGGTGCACCGCGCCGATTCAAAATGGCCGCCAACGTGGCGCCATCTCACATGGAGGCGGCGAACTGTTACCAGAGATAAGTTGGTAGATTGCTCACGAGCAGGATCGCGCGGTCGCATCCTGTGCTGCCCTCTGGTTTCGTACGATTACTTTCACCGTTTTTTGCCCCATTTGAGGATAAAATAAATAAGGTAAGTCAAGTGTAAAGTCGAAGAGGGCGCCACGAGTGTTCTTCCCTTACCGTCAAAAGCGAGCAGTATCGGGAAGCATAGGTAAGCCGCTACCGTCACAGCCGCATGGTATTACCATCACGAGTACGTGAGCCGGCAATGGCGACTGGTAGATGGCACCGCCATCGCGAGTGCGCGAACCCTTACCAGAAATTCGTTGCGTCGCCCTTGGGGGCAAAAAACGGTGAAAGCTAACGTAACGGCAATTTCTCGGAAGATAGATGAATTATCTTGCGCGGGAATACTAAATGAATGAATTCCCTGCGATGTATAAAAAATAATTTAATGATTTTTATTTCTAACTAAGGTATCTGAAAAATGGACCTTATTTGAAGTCTTTCATCGCTGGGGTCATACTCATTAATGCGTCTTCCATACGTTTCTTGTCGGTCTCGCTTTTCAGGCTTTCCCACATATATTCCAGTTTTTTCAGTTGAAATCTCTGTTTAAAAGGTAATACGTTTATCATAGAGTATAAATCATTACAATTTCAACAAATTTTGGTTTCACTTACTTTAATAAATAGGAAGCAGTGCTTTAGAGTCGCACCAATATATAGTATTTTCACAGACACAAAACGTCCTCCGATGTCGGTTATTTGTGGTATAGAATTGACAACAAACTTGTGTGGGCCATGTCGGACTTTTATCAAAGCAATTTTTGTGTGTACATTACTGTACTTTGCTGAAAAACGATACCACGTTTAACGGGGTAACAATGAAGTGAATTAAAATAATTGCATGTAGTCATACCATTAAATCCAGCTTTAATTGCAGCTTGACCGTAATCTCCATACATCTGTTGTACTTTTTGTTGTATGGCATTATGTAATGCCGTTGTTTTCAATGCCAAAGATTTGTCAGCGTTGCTGTTAGGTATTATTTCAATTGTAATGTACCTATAAAAGTTGATTTTAAGTTAATCTTTTATAAAAAAAAAACTGCCAATAATTATAGTATATCATAAATATTATGAAAGTGAAAATATTGAATGCTGTACCTGTTTTTAACGCGGACCATATTTTAAGTTAGGTTATGAATGAATCTACAAAATCTGTTCGAATCCTCCAGAAATCCTTCATTAACATTACTTGATAACGTAGAATAATGTTTAAAAAATATTACTGACAAATTGTCATCTATCCAGATAACAATCACGTTGACGTCAATGAAAGTGTTAGTTTCTTAAAAACGCACTCGCAGAGTCGATTAAAGTCGACTCTTGTCAGAATCAAAACGCCACTAAAAGCAATAGGTTATAATGTTAGGTTAGGTTCTGTTGGTCGTTAGATGCACGTGGCATGTGGACACGTGATCTTTCTGTATACAAAATACTTGTAAATAAATATCAACGAATCACCTACTCTGCTGATGCCGACAAATAAGATGTATTCAAATTTTATTAAAATCACGAACCCCTTGTACCCCAAATTTTCATATGATATTTAATATCGGGGTTTGAACACCCTGCTTATTATATCTATCAGTGGAAGTTGTATTGTATGCATTTTTCATTTTACCACGTTTTTTTCAGGTTGGTGCATTAAACACATGATATATGGAAAGTCATATTAAGAGGATATATCATAGTGTGTTGAAATGCTTATTATATACAAATCGGGTGAAGATTACGATTACTCAACTGATAATATTATATGTAGTATTCATACGAAGAATCTGTAGACAGCTTTTTACACAAAGACACATTCCTTGAATGAAGAGTTTATATAAGCTGCACTTATCTGGAATTAAGAGGAACACATGTATAAGGACTTTATACTTGTCATTAACTCACCAGAAAAATGGCATTATCAATGCTTGGTTTACATTATACTGCCTACGTGACATTTACTGTTATCTCAGGGTCACGCCACACTGAAGTAATAGTGTTGAAGTTTTAATGATTTTTCAAAGTAGGCAGAGTATACTATTTGCTCGGGCAGATTTATGATCACTCATTTCTGTACTTCTCACTGTGGTGCATTCCTTTCTGTAGCATAAACAATTATGGATTACTACATAGGTGTAGACGTAGGAACAGGAAGTGCTAGAGCTGCCCTTGTTTCCCTAGAAGGGAAGATCAAGAAGACTGCTGTTCATTCTATTAAAACTTTTATATCCTCCAGTGTTTTCTATGAGCAATCCTCCAATGATATTTGGGAAGCAGTATGCCAAACAGTAAAGGTAAAAATGAGATATTAAATTTACTGTATCTAAAATAATAAACTTGATTGAAATTGTTATATTCATTTATAAATGTAGATTGTCACAGAAAATGTTCCAAAGGATAATGTTAAAGGAATCGGGTTTGCTGCAACCTGTTCTTTGGTTGCTTTGGATGAAAATGGATTGCCAGTAACAGTAAGTCTATCAGGTATGAAATCATAATGTAATAATAATATTGTCGGAATGGATATTCGATAGAATGAAAATTTGCTAAAATTAAAGTGATTTTCAATCAAAACATGTTATATAAGAAGTGTTGAGTTTTCTGAAGTAGAAAATTTCAATTATTAATATGAAAAATGACAAATTATTGAAATGCAATATTTATAACAGGAAAGGATGAACAAAATATTATTCTGTGGCTGGATCACAGAGCAGAAGAGGAAGCCAATTTTATTAATAAAAGCAATCACAAGATACTTCGATACGTAGGTGGAAAAATATCATTAGAAATGGAAACTCCAAAAATGCTGTGGCTGAAAAATAATTTGCCTAAATCATGGGCACGTGCTCAATTATTATTTGATCTTCCCGACTTTTTAACATGGAGAGCAACTGATGCAGAATCAAGGTAAGCTACATAAGTGCCAAATATTACGGTTTATAATTAACATTAAATCTATTTTATAGATCGTTATGTTCTCTGGTATGTAAATGGAATTATTGTGCTGATCCAAGTGATAACAATGGCTGGAACATTGAATTCTTTGAAAGTATCGGCTTGTCAGATTTAAGCAAAAGCAATTGGAGACGAATAGGTATTTTGTCTATACATTTGTACATATTCAGCACATTCCTTTTTCAATTAACAAAAGTTCTTAGCATTTTACAAATTACTTACACTTCCATTGTGTTCAAGGCAACAAAGTCCAAACTCCTGGAGACTGTGTTGGATCAGGCTTAAGTGCTACAGCAGCGGCTGAATTGGGTCTTCGTAAAGGAACTCCTGTAGCCACTTCGATGATAGATGCTCATGCTGGAGGACTCGGACTTGTTGGATGCTCTGTACCAGGAATATCTAATGATTTTAGCACAAGATTAGGTATTTATCTATATTAAGATTTGAAACAACTCTTTTACTGAAATTAAATATTTCAATGAAATCTCTCCTAAAGTAATTATTTTGTAACATTTCATCATTTATATAGTCCATATATCGATAATAGGAACGTTATTATTCTAAGTGTGCATGCGTTTGTCTTACAGGATTAATTTGTGGAACGTCGACTTGTCACATGATTGTAAATGAAAAGGAAATTTATGTTGATGGTGTATGGGGCCCTTATTACAGTGCTATGGTACCTAGAATGTGGTTAAACGAGGGAGGACAAAGTGCCACTGGGAAACTCCTTGATCACATTATTGACACCCATCCTGCTATCGGAGCAATACGTCATAAAATAAACGGCAAAATGTAAGTCCATTAAAGATAATTATGAGTTACAATTAATATTGTATTTGAAGGAAAAAGTACCTAAAAATAAGAATCTCATTGTAGGCATGTGCAACAGTACTTATCGGAGATACTACAAGCTATTGCAAAACAAAAAAATCTGCCTGATGTTTCATACTTAACAAACAACTTACATGTTTGGCCAGACTTTCATGGTAATCGTTCACCGCTGGCTGATCCTGGACTCCAGGGAATGGTGAGAAATTAAAGCATTGTTCAGATTAATTCTAACACTAGTATGATTGAACGGTTAAAATTCTTCTCTTCATTAAACAGATTTCAGGATTAACTTTGTCAGCTGACGAAGAAAGTTTAGCACTTTTGTACTTAGCTACTGTGCAAGCTCTAACGGTAAAATATTGAACATATTTGTATTTTTATTTCCTATAAGACTATTAATGCTCCTTTGGCCTTTACTAATACCATATATAATGAATACAACCTTTATTTTTTGGACAGTATGGAACCAAACATATTTTAGAGGCCTTGACCCTTGCTGGACACAAAGTAGAGACGCTACTTATTTGTGGCGGTCTCAGTCAAAATCCACTGTTTACACAAATACAGGCAGATGTCTTAGGTTTACCTGTTCTTACTCCTTTAGAAACAGAATCAGTGCTACTTGGCGCTGCAATCTTGGGTTCCTACGCAGCAGGTGTTTTTCCTTCGGTGAACGATGCTGTTCGTAGCATGGGAGGTCTAGCAAAAATTGTAAAACCAAATAAGGCAGTGTACAAGTAAGTATTTTATTATTATCCTTGCACAATTCATTCGTATAATCCTTACACGGTAAATAAATTTCGCAGATATCATCAACGTAAATATCAAGTTTTTAAGAAGATGGTACAAGACCAGAAAACATATAAGGAACTGATGGAAATAGAAACGTAACTGATGTTGAAATAAATTTACAAACATTGCTTTCTATGATTATGAAAATTGTCGATAGACAAACCTCCATACACCGTATACAACAGATGCTAAATTTCTGCTCTTCCGACTGGAATCTCATATAAGACTGCATTACTATAACAATATGTTGAAGATCTTATTTCATTACAAATGTATAGAATTGTTGTGCGCAGACGTGTTTGTTATTATTTAATTAAAATTGGACAGTATCAACTCGATCGAATATTTGCTTCATCTAAATAAAGCATATGAACAATTAACAAATTATTCACATAATTATCATCATTCTCACGCTTATTCACCGAGTTTAATTACGGTGATAAGCGCCGAAGATGCGAGTTAATATTTCCTTTCTATTTCATATATCAATTAAATTTCTAAACTTATTTAACAATTGTAAAATATTCAATTTTATAAAACTAAAGCTCATAATAATGTAATATTCCTTTGTATTGCTAATTGAGGAGTTGCAGTAATACTTTTACTCAAACTAATAATAACATTCCGTGAGTCTTTAATTCATAATAGTTTGCCTTTCTATTCAGTAAGAAGACAGGAATAAAATGGAATTAAGAACTTTTATTTAAGTGAATATTTAATACAATTATTATTTGCCAAAACTAGAAGGAATGAAATAATGTCCAAATATATTCATCTTTACGGAATTCAACGTAAATCAAAGAACATTATGGGAATGGAATAGAATTAAGATTTATAAAAAATGTATTTCTGCTGTGTGAACTGAGCTTATGAAAAAAATCAAGTATTAAATAGAAAAGAAAAATCGTTACTTTTAGAGTGAAACTGAAATTTTTAATTCTATTTTGTTCAAGCCTTCTTACCGGATAGATCGATGTAAAAACAGAACTTATCATATTTTAATAAAATATCAATAAACAGTATATATAAATGTATAATCAATGACCTCTGTAAAGACATATTTGTATATACAGATGTTAAGGCAATAATAGGCCTCTTACGATAAGTTGATGAATTGGTATTACAGCAGCTAAGAACTTCCTTATAATTTAGGCAGTAACTTTTTAAAAAGTTTATGACAACTACAATACAATTAAGCAAATCGTTGACACGAAATACTTGGTCGACGCGATTTCTTTTACTTATACAGCTGTGAAAAAATATTTCAGTAGTAAAATTATTTACCTTTATATCCGCTTATTAATCATTTTACAAACTATATGCAAATATCTCTGAAAAATGTATGAAAAATACTGGTATTGAATAACTCATTGTCTATTAACAATTCATCAACACACGTTAAAAATATGTTTATATATTGATAATACATAACACATCATCACTTTGTACCGTTTATTACAAAGACAGATTGAAATTTTATCAAAATATTTCTTCCAAATTTCAATGATAACTATAAAACATGTATACATTTTCAGAGCATTAAAAATCTTGCGTTTTTATTTTTCAAGTTTCTTTAAAGTGATAATGTATTTTTATTAAAAATGATTGTGTGTTTCAAATTGTTAGAAATGAATTATATGAAGGCGTCGTCGAAATCGTATCGAAGTAGATAAAAACAATCTTGCTATTATCTAATTGTTTTAAAACGAAGTCATGTTATTATCTGTAACTCAAAATATTAATTTTTTTTGCAGCTGTTATGTATGCGTTATTATATGTCGTGACATTAATAATATTACATTAAGATTGCAATTAAAGAGAATTTTTGATATAAAATCACAAACATACTTAATATACTACTTCAATGACGTCTTCTCTTAAGCTGCATAATTCTTTCTCCAAATTATCAAATAAAGCTAATAATTATTTGTATTGCTACATTGCATTTTGCGAACAAGGAACATGTTAATGCACTTGAAAAATCTTTAAAGTTCGCGATGCGACTACATTTCAATGAGACACAACAAGAGTTGGTTATAATTAATGCGAAATCGTTTATAAAAATATATACATATATATATATATTTTGTTTAGCTACGTTTTCCTTATCCTCTCTATATAATAAAGCCCAGAAATTTAATATCAACCCTTACCCCAGAATAGGCACTTTTCATTAACTTAACGTTGTATGATATTCCAAAAATCTCTTGGAAGACGTTCCTTTACCTTTTCTATCAGAAGATTGCAACAGTTAATATTAACTAATGTATTAAAGTTTCTCATAAAATATATACTTTCAACTCTTGTTACCTTACATCAAGTATGCAAGAATAGATAGGCCACTTCGAACCATGGTAACAAATAAAGTTTTGTGCGATTTTAGGGAAACTTCTTATTAAAATTATAAAAAAGTAATATTAAAACATTTTTTTTTGCATGAGTACTGTCCCTTTCCTCAATCATGTATAAGAAATTCTCTTCATTAACAAGTATTTCAATGATTCATTGGTATTCAAGGGTAAAAATGTGCTTTCTTGCTCAAGACTGTTGTCCTTATTTTAATGTTAATGAATAAACTGATCGAGGAAGTTTGAAATTTAGGAATCTGTAAAAACGTTATATACCTCTATCTCTCACATATTACTGAAACGTTGGTACCTTCTGAGAGGTATTTCACATAGCTAGTAGATTCTTGTTATTTTATATATACATACCAGTTTGATACAACTGACATGTAATGGTAAACTTGATTGCACAACAGAATCATGACAAGTTTCATGGAATCAGTTGTGCTTGGTCTTTGGACAAAGGTACATAACTTGTTGAAGTTTGTCAAACTATGTAGAATTGTACCAGAATTGACATGAGCAACTTAAATTAAATTCCCTTACGTGAACCTGTAGAACTCAGCGATATGATTGAGCATGTACTGAAATGCTGTAGAGGGTGAAGTACCAAATCGTTGTCTCCATAAATATGTTGAAAGAATATCCAGTCCTAATGCATGTGTCGTCTCTTGGATTTCTTCACAAACTTTGACACCAGTTTGCCAAATAGTTTCTGTGTAGATATATGAAACATTGTATTAACATGTACTATGACACAATTGATGGTTACAATTATTAAAGTGATTAATACCTAGATTGGACAACAATTTGTTCTTGCCAGGAGGATCAAACTTCTGTAAGTATTCTACGCTGATCACCCTGTACTGCTTCAATTCCTGTAATGACTCATAATTACAGCTACGTGCCCTACTGTTTGCTACGATGTAGCTACCAGGCAGCGCGTGTCGAACTACCTCTTTCAAAGCTTCCTCCACCATCCCACATCTATTTACATTGGTGTGACCTTTCTCTGATTTTAGTGGCTATGGTATCAAACAATCACACATATTAGAAAGAAAAAAAGAAATGTTGAGCAACAAGAGAGAATGAAGTATATTCCGTGTCTACCTCTGGCATTGCACGTATCATATGAAGCCACATTCGAGGTGGAATAACATTTGCTTCTGCGATACATAGAATCGTATGTGAATTATTATTTCGTTTTTTGGTTACAACTGTGTCTGTAACAGTTTCAGTCATACAACCACCAGGAAACTCGTCAACGATTAACACAGTGCCTGGACCACCAAGAACCCATTCTTCTGGATGTCCTGAGACATAAGCTTCAGAAACCTTTGCACACCGCTCGTACACTTTCTTAACTACATGTTCCTTTATATCTGTGAAAAGTATCGTATGCAGTTAAAAATAAAATTGTCATTAAATATGTATGTAATATTGTTTTCCATCAACAATACCTAAATGTTCTGCCATAATTCGCGAAGGCACCAATTGACACCAGCCAAGAATCACTTGAAGGCACATTTTTAAATCACATTTGACTGATAAAAAAAACGAATTTTCCCTTATAGACTGTTTACGAGTACACGCTGGACAGGCCCAATTATATTTGTCCACAATCCTGGCTGGATTCCAGATCAAGTTCCGCCCCTTACAATTAACCTGAGGGCAATTTGATTCCGTTCGAATTAAGCTCATTTCCTTCAACCAACTGCATAATTCTCCCTCGTGTCCTTGTTGCAGCATCGGTTTGACAACCAAATCAAAGTATCCACCTTGATCCCCAAGTTTTTCTACGGATTCTCTGTTATGACTGAAATAAAAAATTCCTCAAGTTATATACCTTCTACATTAATAAAATCATTCTAGAATAAAAATTAAACACTTCTTCCATTTTAACTGATAAACCCATTACACGAATAATTTTATTAAAAATCTCAAACCATATCAATAAAGGTAAAGTGATCTACATAACTTTTATAAATTACATTATGACAAAAATATAAACATATCACGTTTACCATTTAATTAATTTTATTTTGCAACTAGATGAACTCTGTTTTTTATCATATATATTACACTTGGCTTTTAAGACATCAAAATCAAGGAAATTGCCGAGATTTAAAAACAAAGCTGCATTCATAAGTAAACTGAGATGGGGGTAGTATAAATAGAGGGTCCTACACGATATTGATTTTTCACTTCCTGCTGATTAGCCTATTAATATTTCTACATGCTGCATTAGAACACGTACGATTGTACGTTATAGATTACTTTATACAGCTTCTGTAATCACACGGACGGATTAACTTGTCAATTTGTCAGGATGAAATAGCAATATACTTAAAATAAAAACAAATATATTGTCAGAGAAGAAATTTTTAACTTACCTCGAGGATTTGCCCTCCGAGTTCGACATCCTCCTCGGCCGATTTACAACAGTGTCCATCATTTTTCTTTAAAATTAACGTACAATAATGATCAACATATACTATAAATAAAGGGAAAAAAAATAAAATGAAAAAATCTCGCGGAGCCTGTCAAAACTTCGTGGCGTCACGCATTCCTGTGCATTCCTGGAGCGGGACACTTTTCAGTCTGTTTGATTGAAGCCACGGCGCCTATTCAAGTACCGGTCGGTAACGTAGACAGAAGAGAAACCCGCGAAAATTATTTGAACTGAAAGGTTTAATCTTTCATGTTTGCAGAACACGACTTATATTCTATTCGTTTACACTTGACTTCCGTAGTTTCGTATCATTTTATTATTTACTATTCACGGTATAAACAAATTATATAAAACTAAGCCTAAACCTAAAAATTAGGAACTTACAATAGTAAATTATAAATAAAAATAATGGATTTTCAGGCAATTAAAACACATAATGGAGACAAACATAAAAAAATAACTTTATTAAAAATATTGATTAAAAATGCAGTAATGGAATTATTTTTTAACAGCACAGCGGCAAAGTTTTGCCAATAGATTATGCATTTGTAAAAGACTACTAACTCCATCGACTATACCAAGATGTGTAAGTCCAATTTCCTGAAAGATTGTGGAAATTAAACAAGTATGAAAAGCGGAGAAACTTTCTAAAATACATACGAAAGTTGAGATGTCAAATCAACATACTCGCAAGAAATCCAATCTTAACATTTCATCCATGGAAACGTTCTTGCAAACTCGATGTATGTTGGTTATAATATCTTCAGCTGAATACCCTAAACTCCACAGATGTGCCATTCTCTATTAACGGATTAAAAAAAGTGAATAATCAGAAACGCTACAATAATTAAAGATAATGTACAATTATAGAAAATTATAAAAAATACTTAACCCGAAAGGCTTCACTAATATTACCCTTGACACACTGTTCTAACATATCTTTAACTATCAGAGGATGAGGTTCATCGCACACTTTAAAAACATTCTCACTGTTTATGTGGCCAAATCCATTATATGTTGATTGCAAATTATTTAGTGCTTGTCTCATGTCTCCTTGAGCAGTAAATATGATGGCTTCTAGTCCATCATCGGTATATGAGATCTATGATATGTATATAATAATATAAGTGACTATCACGATACATGGACATTGTAAGCTTAACAAGTAAACTTGAAACTCACATCTTCCTTTTTACAAACTTGCAAAACTTTAGCGAGAACCTGTGCATCGGTTAGTTTTGCATAAGGCAATACAGCACAGCGTGACTGAATAGGTTCTATGATTTTATCACTGTTGTTACATGCCAGGGCAAATCGAGTTGTTTTGCTATATATTTCCATTGTACGTCGCAAGGCTTGCTGAGCTCCATCTGTCATACTATCTGCTTCATCAAGAATAATTATCTTGTGTTTTCCCTTTGGAAGAGTAACCTATTTTTGCATAAAATTATATTATAGATAACAATTAAAAGAAATTATACGATCAAATTGCAATAAAGAACGTGAGATGAATTATCAAATGAATAACGGATATAAATAAAAGTAAGTAATTAATAATGAACCTTTTTCTGTGCAAACATTTTAATCTTATTTCGAACAACTTCGATGCCTCGATCATTGGAAGCATTCAACTCCAAAACGGCGTCATTGAAATAAGGGCCCAAGAGAGCTTGAGCATAACAAAGAATAGTCGTGGTCTTGCCAATTCCAGGAGCTCCGGATATTATAATGTTTGGAGCATTGCCGATCTGAGCAAAGGCAGCTAGGCGCATTACTGTGTCTTCATTTCCAACAATCTCATGAAATTCCCGCGGCCGATATTTTTCTATCCTGCAAAAAAGAAAACATTATTTATTGCTTCACTATATTAATATAAAATCTAACACTAAAATACTAATATTTAAGGACTGAAACAGCCGGTTCTGAGATAACCTCACTTGCCCGGCAAGTAATATCTGTGAAAATGTATTAAAAGAAGCAATGAACGAACCATGGTAAATTAGAAAATTTTTTCTCTGCAATTGATGTCTTAGTTTTACTGGAAGACTGCTCAGCTACAGATAAATTCGCTTCAACATCCATTGGTTCTTCTGCGTTATCTTCAGCCGCCATGTTTAAACGACTCTGCTAAATTTCGCGGGTTTACAAAAGCGCGCATGGGCTGGGGGTCAAAAATGAGTTGGGAGATAGCTCATGGGCAGGGTCGCGCGATCGCCTGTGCTGTCCCCCGGTGGAGGATGTGGACGATTAACGAACTTGCCACCTGATACCCCTCAATGGCGTCCCATGATCACTGACCACCTTCACTTCGATTCACCCGTGTGTCGGTTTTTATATTAGGCAAACCACGTAACTCTATTTCTCTCACTCACTCTAACGTAATTCGTTCAAAGTTATGAAAAGTTGTCTTCTTTTACAGAACATGCATAATGTAGTTCCTTTTAGCTTTGTACTACAAACATAACCTGAATTTTTTAATAATTTTGACAGGTCAAATTATTGCATACCTATTAACGAATTTTCGGTGTTCACAGTTACAGAGCTCATGTAAAAATGTCTTACTCGCAACCTCACGAAGCTGATTTAACATCTCTAGCAGAACTTGCAGGAATTTATTCTGCTCCTGGCATTTTCCGGTAATTTTTGTTTCATTATTGTTTCAGAAACTCAAATTAACTTTATCTGTAGTAATAATATTTTTAAATGAGTGTCAAAATTGATCTGCATTAAATGACTAATGTGTTTCATTTTCAGCGTCCTTACGGAACTTCTGGCACTGCAAATATCTCCAGAAGATGTATATGTTCTACTGCGTCAACTCTGTCCAGAATCACAAAAGAAAAGGACCGATGGTACCAAACAGAAAATTAAAAGTTCAGGTGCTCAAGTATGATGTTTACGTTGCAAATATATAGAATTTATTTTCATCAATGAATTACATGTAAAGTAAAAAAAATTGTGTTTGGTTTTTATCATATATACCATGCTGATATTACTTATACAGTAAGTAATTGTATTATATAAGTAAGTAAGCGTTTCTTTATGATTGACATTTTGAAGGCCACTTAGCAATCGCCGATATGTAGGCTAGTAATCCTGCCGTTCTGCTGCAGATCGTGCAAGCTGATCAGCCATTTCATTTCCATGAACTCCTTTGTGACCCGGAACGTATTTCTTGAAAATGATTAAGTACAAACTTTAATAAAGAACTAAATAACAAGATTAGAACGGTACTTAAATATACTTACAAGTTGAACATCCAATGGTTCAAATGCTTTCTTCATTTCCACAAGTTCATTTTTATTTATTACGGATCTGTTGTCTGACGTCTTCCAACCATTTTGTTCCCATTTTGGCATCCACTTATCATGGCAATCGATGAGAAATTTAGAATCGGTATTAATTCGTAGTTTTTCTATCCCAGCATCTGCAGCACGCCTTGCAGCATAAGTTGCTGCTTGAATCTCTGCATTGTTATTAGTTTGACGACCATACACAGGTGCAGAAATGTTCCTAAAAATGTAATCAATTCATATTGAGATCAGAAATCTGTGAAATTACTTCATACTTATATTTTTTAATTTTCTAATAATATATAAATTCAAAGGCAAAGGCATGCTGAATTTCAAACTTCCATGTTTGTGAGTTTTTCTGTCTAAGAAGTCAATCAGTCTCTTCATTACAAACACTTAATTGTAAATGTCCAAATATTCCTACTTTCTATAACTTACAGATCATGGTTATCTCCAAACCAAGCGCCTGCCCCAGCTCTTGGATTATCACGTCCATTTGATGGACAAGCCCCATCGGTCCAGACATCAACGTATCCATCTCTTCCTCGATTAAAACTGCTTTGTCCGCGCCGACCAGCCTAAAGAATAGAAAATATAAAGATATATTTTGATTTTAATATCAGACTACTGTAGTATTTAAATACTATATCGAACCATGATCAGAGATGATTTTGCTTTCTTATACTGCTTAAGAATCTTCTTTAGTTCCTTAAACGGTTCCTGCTTCTCAGTGCTTACTCGGTCGGGAATGGACTGACGACTAACTCGTAACCAGAAACCAACTTCAGAGCTCAAATTCCTCTTTGAATAAGGGTCTCCTTTGTTTGGCCAGCATTCGCTATCCTTTGAACACACACGAGCACAACAAAGATGGCCTTGAAGACCGAATGGTTGCCCAAAAGTGGCCTAAGAATCTCTTATCTAAATGAGTCTAAAATACTGCTAAAATATTTTGAGAAATGTAAAGTACTGAAATAAAAATTGTATCAGAATATCAATGCCTATATTGTTTCCAAATACAAATATGGAATTGGACAGATATTTATTTTCTATTATTATTTGTATATTTTTTTTAACACATAACGTAACGTGTAAAAAAGAGATGCCATTATTTATGCACAACCCAATAACTAAGGGGCTTCGCCGGGTAGCTAAATGACGAAAACACGATACGGGGAAACAAATAACAATTTATTGACACAAAGTGGTCGAAGCAACTGTCTGCTTTTTGCTGTAACTACCCTGAGGCCCGATTCTCGAGTTCATACGGATATTTTCGCATACGAATAGATTCGCATGAAAAACTTCGCATTGTTGCGATGTCACGTCATCGATCATCTGAAAGTCGGGGCGAAAGGGCCTTCAAACATTACAATGGGGTAGTTATAAATTTTTAGCCGAGGACTAACGTGGCCGACGTGCCTCTACAATAATTTTTATATCTGTTAATTTTAATCTTTTAACTGTTTTAAATGAAAGCCATTAAAATGTATAATTCACGGATGTTGTAAATGGTTTAATATATTGTTATGTCGTATCCGTTCAATATCTCTCATTTTTATAATTTATTTTCAAGAAACGGTTGGCTTTCTGAATTAAAGGAATAAATTGAAATTCACAAGAGGATTTGATATTGTAAAAAAAGTATGAAAAGACTGAACTAAAAGAGTTTTATAAATGAATGTACAGACAGTAATGTGAATCCTGTATTAATCGTGCATGTAAAATAAATTTGATTACCATTTGAAATAAACCGTGATTTAAAGCAAAATAAATTACAGATGTAGAGATATAGGTTTTCATTGGTCATCATTATTTTCATTTTTATACAATTCAGCTCCAGCCCTTGCAAGTTTATCTGCCATTTCGTTTCCATGAATCCCTTGATGACCCCGGACATGATTCTATATAATGAAAATACTTTATAGGAAAAAGATTTTAAATATTAGAAATATGAGATTTAAACGCACTTACCCACTTAATGCTTAGAGAAGAGAGGGCTTCTTCCATTTCTAGAAGTTCACACTTATTTATTACAGGTTTGTTTCCCACGGTCATCCAGCCCCTTTTCTTCCATTTTGGCATCCATTCCGTAATACAAGAAATGAGAAATCGTGAGTCTGTATTAATTTTCAGTTTTTGTATACCCTCTTTGTGAGCTTGTCTTGCAGCTAATGTCACCGCTTGAATTTCTGCCATGTTATTTGTTGGTCGACCGTCTACAGGTTGAGAAATATTTCTGTAAATTTTATTGAAATGTAGGTATTTAAAACCTTTAATCGATGAATAATATTTTGAGTATTAGAAAAATTATAACGCTGTACGTTGTATCACATTTTAACTCACAATGGATGATTATCTCCAAACCAAACTCCTACACCAGCTTTTGCACCCTTTTTACCATTGGAACTACATGCTCCATCCGTAAAAACATTCACATATCCATCTGAGTCAGTTATAAAATTTGATGCATCCTGTAGCATATGCAAAAAACTATACCGTAACAAAATTCGTACATTAATCAAGTTCAAATATTTTTCTATGTTATTATATAAACTTCCAATTTTTAATGTTATATAAACAACTATTTTAGCATTTTAATGTCTTAATTACAATACCTTTATAGGAGAATCTTCAGGCAAAGGCAAAAGTTTAATTTTTTTTGCTGGATTTTTAGTAACATTCGCACTGTTAGTACTTGTAGATAGAGATCGTTTCTTGACACCTTGAGTGTTACTCAAAGCATTTCTGTTTTCGTGTCCAAAGATCGAACTTATCGTTCTTGAGGGTGCTGCTGATGGATTTATAGCGGCAACAGTTTTTTCATATGCCAAAGCATTCTTCAATTTTCCAGACATGTACTTTTTACTAAATATAAGATTTAGGACTGAATATTTTTGTTTGAGATATAAATTAATATGTATATACAATTGTAATCAATGTTACCGAATTTTATTTTCACCACCATTGCTATTCTTATTTATGAAGTCTTCTGCTTCTGTTTGTGTTTTAAACTTTTTATAAATTGGTCCAGAAAACTGGTTAACTTGCAGTTTGCATTCATCCCTTAAATAAAGATCATAATATTATTTTAATCTACTGTAAACTTATTGTGATTGAGGATCTTTTTTAGTATTATTTACGTCCATTGTATGTAGCTTTTCTTAATTTCCAATGCGCTTACCAAGTTTGGTATATCCCAGGTTTTCGACCTTTAGCTACAGCGTAGAAACTCATACTTCTAACAGTTAGAGCTGACAGTAAGTATGAAAAACTAATGCTCATTTGTTCTCAAATAACGTCATGCGAGTACGAATATATTTTCTAAAATAAAAAAATTAAACACGTTGAATAAAATTCATAGTTTACAGGTTATATTATTTTTAGGTTAACAGCTGTTCCATCATAACCATTTCACTAAACCATAACTATGATTCAACCTGACCATATTGTTTTCAATAAGTGAGTCATATAATTAAGATAATGTCTGTCGTTTAAATGAAATAGATGTTTTTCAATAACAAAATGCACCTACTATATAAACATCGTCACATATCACTCGTTTACAAATGTGTCACCATTTTTACCTAGCAGACGATGTACGTAGAACCGCCATTTTTAAATACTAATCGAAAGCATGAAAGTAGGTTACAAAACTTCCGATATTTTTTATTTTATGACCACAGTCGTATTTACAACTATTTATGTCGTTAATTTATTCATGTTGAAAGTTACATATGTATGTATGTACATACCTTATATCATAAGACTGGCAGGTTGATACCGTAGTAAAAGTAACCAAAGAATTCCATGAATAACTGATTGACTCAGAAATAATATCAATCATAAATTAAATTCTACTGCTACGTTTTCACTTGATGCATTGCTACATAAATAAATGCAGCAAAATGCTCTGATTAACTCGTAATTATTTTTGGGTCATTCATGATAGCTATCTGGTTATTTCCAACCAATCAGAGCATTTTGCTGCTGCATGCAGTTTTACAGCAATGTAGCAAGTAAAAAGATACCTTAGCATACAATGTTTATAACTGATAGATGCTTATTTTATTGCTTGTTATTGACGTACTTTATAATAATTTTCGGGATAAATGAAATGGATAGAGGGATGTAGTTCATCTGGTAGGTCAAAGAAGCTTTTATTCATTTTATGACCATTTGTCTATATACAGGGAAACGCAGTCACTTTGAGTGGATGCTTAAAAAAAAAAGACAGCCTTAACAGTAGCTGTAGCGATTGCATTGCATCATTATGAAACAATGAAATGTTGACTAACTTATCGATATTACAAATTCTTAAAAGAGCACTATTTGTAGACATCTTCCTTATCAGCAACATAGCGAACTATATCTTTAGGTCGCAGTAGCTTTTCCGCATCCATATCTGGAATCTCAAAGCCGAACTCATCCTCGATCGCCATTATTACTTCTACGTGATCCAAGGAGTCCAAGCCAAGATCATTAATGAAGTGAGATTCCACTGTGAGCTGTATAAATATAAATAAAAGAAATAAATATTGTTTAAATAATACTGATTGGAAAATAAGACTTCTGCATGACCGACAAGCATGAGAAAATTCAAACAAATATTATTCATTCTTTATGGACATCGATAAAAATGTACAGCTGTATTGGTCATTTATTGGCGGACACCACGACGCAAGCGAGGCGTTAACCACGCAGTTTTTGAAGCTGACTAATAAGACATTCTTGCAATTGGTAATTTCTTTAACTATTCCAGGATGTAAAGACACTTTACATCGATAACATATTCAAGTGGTTTCTACATTCTGCACAACCATTGTATTTATAACAAGATACAAGAATGTCTTTCTGAGCACCTTCATGTTATGCCCTGATAAGGCAAATAGGTACCTTCGCCGGATCAATTTTATCATAGAGTTTGAGCACCAACAGCACCCGTTCGCTGATTAGCTGAAGGGTGAGTGGAGCATCATGACTGTAGTGGCGCACCTGCTTGACCCGTGGGTCCACTAGGCCCTGTAAAATGATTTAACTGTAACCTTTTCAGCAGATACTTTGTCGTAAGCAGCTACCACTTTAAGTACTCGCTCCTCAATTTGCTTCTGGGAAAGTTTTCCTTTAATTGTGAAACAACTGTACTGTACAGCTTGCACCTATGTTCATTAAAACATGTTCAGTCATAGAAATCCTAAAATTATTAATGTTCCTTTGTTTTATCATCGATATTTGAGGGATTTTGGGCGATACCTTGAATTATAATTTTTGATGCACAGAAATATTAAAACAGCAATTATAAGTGGAAAAAAGGTAGCAATTGACAGGACTTCCAGACGTCTCCGTTTAACAAATTGTTACAAATTGTTACAAATTTTGTGTGTATTTTATAAAATAAACCTGTATAGCCCTTACAAAAGGTCCCTACAAATATCTTTCTCAAAGGTTTTTGAGGCCAGTAATAATTGGCCATATTAGGATGTTTTTTTTTTCAAGATGTGCACCCGACTCTCAGGATCCGTGCTTAAACATCGAATGTAATATTGTAGTATACATTGGTTGTCTTTTATCAGAGTTACATAACGAGCAAATCAAAATACGTTAAACTGCCGAATCCCGGGACAGCGGCATGCTTGCTAGTAGGGCAGGAGTGAAATGTTTACCTCGGGCCAGCGCAAAGACCGACATTGTTGAGCAGTGTGAAGTGATCGTGGTCGAAGCCGAAAAGTAGTGACAGTTCGCTGCAAGCTCAGGCGATCGGCTACAGTTTTAAAAGCACCGGTGTTTCGCGTAAAAAGACGAACGCCTGCGAGAGACGCCATTGTTCCCCTGAAGCAGAATGAAATTTGACGGTGCAGTGTTACCAACACTCGGAATGTCAACCACCGAAAAGAAGCAGGGGTACCTACAGAAATGAGTTGAATACATTGACCACGTCTCCATCAAACTCCTAAATCCAGGATTTATCGGGCCTGGATCCAGTAAACGAGCGTTTCCATCGCATTAATAATCGAATTTACTGGGTTTGAAAAAGATTATGAGTGATAATTTTAGAATCCTACTTGATAATACACCTATAACACCTGTGGTGTTGGTCGTAAAAAGTTAAAATTGCCTTCTTTTATTTACAAATACATACATTAATCTAACTAGATGGATGCATTAAATGATAAACATGAAATTAATCATTTAAATCTTCTGAGAAGTGATGTACCACCTGACATATTAATTGGCTCTTTCTTTTTACTAATCTGTAAGAAACACGAATAAAAAAAATTTTATTACACATGAAGTCCGAAAACATATAATTCTTGTGGCATTGAATTTGCTTAATAAAAAGATAACTGATAATAATAAGATAGTAAAGAATGCATTACCATTTAAAGTTTTCAATTAATTTGTGTAGTTTATTAATGGATGCATTGTGAGATATTTAGCTTCTCTTATCATCAGTCAGATGTACTGGTTTTGAAGGTTGCTGCTTCTCTAATTCTGAAATTCTTTTCTCATGCTCTTTAATTTGTCGACATCTCGAGCGACATAAATCTCTCAGTAATTCTTTCTCCTTAATTAATCGTTCTATTTTCAATTGTTCCTAAGAAAATAACAAAAGTTAGCTAATAAAAACTTGTGTTCAATAATACCTGCATCTGGTTGACATGGTAATTAAAGTTGAATGAAAACAAAAATATACTTTATATACTCCACTGTGCGTGTCACTAATGAACCCCTTGTATTCTGACATGGTCTGCGTAAATTGGTTGACTCCGTTAATTTTCTTTATTCTGCACCCTTTGCAATCTCTTACACTGGTTTCAACTATAGTTCGCTGTAGCTCCTTCACCAGTTTCTTCAATTCAACATTCTGTGAAACATACATAAGTATCTATTTATCAAGTTATAAAAGCTGAAACACTTTTCCACTAATATCATCTCCAATATTTTTACCTTATTTTGGAAAGTCAAGAGATCTTCCTCTAGGTTTTTGCATTTCTTCCGATAAGGGAAATTCTCGCTCTGAATCTTAATTTCCAATGTAGCTATTATTCCATTCTTCGATACTATTTCCAATTCTAGCTGGCGATTTTTATCCTTAAAAACAGAACACTCATGACACTGTTTTCTGTTGAAAACTTCTTCACCACTTTCCACATTTCTTGAACTACAGGCTTCCTTCTCTTTTAATTTGTTCTCCAACTCTGTAACTCGATTCCGCAAATCGGAGGCCTCCAACATTACCTTCTTAGTAGTCTCGATCTTAGCCAGTAGTTCCTGATTCTGTTTCTTATAATGTTCTAATTTTTTCTTATAGGAATTTGGACTTAGTGTATCAGGTGGAAACCTGGCTTTCAGATTTTCATTCTCGAACTTCAAGGAGTTAATTGTTCTTTCCAACTCCAATATAGGACCAAACCCAGATTCAGGAGAATACAACTTATCGGTCAATACAAGAATTTCATGGTTCAAATTATTTATGTGTTCCACCATTTCTTCCATTTCTTCATCTAGTTCTTTATTTTTCTTTCGAACTTCCTCCATTTCATTTTGGTATTTACATATTTCTTCTTCCTTCAGCTGCAGAACTCGTTTTGTTTCCGAGAGTTCGTCCGTAGCCTCCTGAGGTTTCTGCACAAGTTTGGGTCGAAGATTGACGGAATTCAAAGAATAGGACGTTTTGTAGGTCTCCAACTCCTTTGCCAATTTATCGTTCTCCTGACACAGAGTTTCATACTTTCCTTGCAACTCTTGATTAACTAAAGTCAATTCATTCCTTGACATCTGCAGCTCTTTGATCAGATTATTTGCTCCTTCCAGTTGCCGATTACAGTTCGCCACCTCATCCTGGAGGCTTTCCACGATCTCCTGTGATTTACTGTTTCTATTGCAAATTTTTCTTTTCAGCTTTTCGTTCTCCTTCTCCAACTCCTCACAAATGCCCTTGAACGACTCCAACTTACTCTTCTCTTGACATAGGGTCTCGTACTTTTCTCGCAACTCGCGATTGTTTAATGATGATTGATTCTTTGACTCCTGAAGTTGTTTGATCAGGTTATTGGCTCCCTCCAATTCTATATTAAGACTCATCTTCTCGTCCTGTAGATCTTCCACGATTTCATGTGATTTGTTGTTCCTATTCTCAACCTCTTTCTTCAGCTTTTCATTCTCCTTTTCCAACTTCTCACAAGTACCTTTCAGTGATTCCAACTCCGACTTAAGAGCTGAATCCACATTGGTCAGGTCGAGCATTTGTCGACGAAGACCTGCGACATTTCGTTCTTCAGCGACAAAGCGTTCTGTAATATTTTCAATCCTTTTCGAACTGTCGACCTCAAGCTTCCCCATTTTTCTCTTCAGGTCCTCCACAACCCGATTGCTGTGTGCCAATTGTTGCTTCAGGGTTTCGTTCCTTGAAGTGGCGATTTTCAATTCAACGGACAATTCATTGAGTTTGTCATCCTTCTCTTTGAAAATGTTGATGGTCTCTTCAATGTACCTGTCCTTCTGTTGGATCTCGCTAAACAGCTTATTATGTGTTTCTTTGAGCTGCTCCATTTCCACTTCCAAATTTTTCAGCCTTCGAACGTTACACGTTAATTCACGTCCACTTCGGGTGATAATGATAATCAGGTTTTCCTCCAGAGCTTTGAGAGTTTTGACATTATTCTCCAATTCCACGTTTCTGGACTTATAAGCTTCTACTAGCATACCGGTCAGCTCCATTAGTTTGTTTTCCTTGTCGATCTTCAACTGAGTCTCTACTTCCTTTTCTCGAATTCCGATGGACCCCGAAACGAGGTGTTGCTTTTCATTGGCTTTATCAACAGTTTCGTCATCTGGGCCTTTCTTTTCCGATTGCTTCTCGTGTACATTTTGTAGAGCACCAAGGTCCGACTTCAAGACCTCGACCTTCTCCTTCAGATATTGACTTTCCTGATGGCTCTCTCTTAGAACTCGGTTTAACTCATCCAACTCTTTGCAGAGCCAGCTATTTATATCCTCTTGCTGGAGAAGATCAATCTGCAGCCTCTCGACATTAACCTCCAGCTTTTTCGCCCAAACCGTGACTATTTTTTCGGAGTCCTGACTCTGGTGGGTTCGATCCTCCAGCTCCTTTCTTTTCATATCGAAACGTTCTTGAATTGTTTCAACGACTTCCTGCTCCTTCGACATTACTGCCCGATGGAAAACCCGAAGCTCCTCTACGATGAATTCTTTCACCTCGAATAATTCATTCCTAAGTCTGTCGCATTTTAATTGAAGCTCGATCCTTTCCTGAAGCAGTTTCCCTGAGTTTGCAATCTCTTCTTCGTTTCCACTATTTATGGACATCCTTTGCCGATCAGCTGCGTTTACGTCCTGCTTAGTTTCATTTACTTCTCTCGCCAAGACGCAATTATTTTCCTGCAATTCAGAGATACACTTTCGCAATTCGTCGATGAGATTTTTATTATCTTCTCTCTCGGCTTTCAGCTTTTCAATCTCGACCTCTAAGTTGAGCTTTTCCCTTGTTGTTTCGTTCTGGAGAACGTTCAATCTTTCAATCGCGCTGCTTAAATTGGTTATTTCACCTTCGAGCATCTCAACTTTCTCATTGTCAAGTTCTTTGTAAGTTTTTAGAGATTCAATCTCATTCAACATGTTTGCTCTTTCCATCGAGAGTTTTTGAAGCTCTTCTCCGGTGACAGCGTTGATTTTCTTCACTTCTTGTAATTCTTGCTCCAGCTTCTGCAAAGTCTCTTGGAGCTTTTCAATTCTGACTTGTCCCTTCAGAATTTCTGGAACTTTCGGATATAAAGACGTTTCATTGGCATCGTTTTGATGCGATATCTCGAGCTCTGCACAGTTTTCTTCGGGCGAATCGCTTTGTGTTTCATCATTCTCTTTCAATGCCTGCAATTGATTTCTCAAAGCCTCCAACTTTTCCTCCACCAAGGAGACATTCGATACTTCTAAAGAACTGGAATTCATCGTGGAATCATTAACACTAAAATCTTCAATGATTTTACTTTGCGACAAGTCAAACCGGTCGAGCTTTCGTTGTACATTATGCAGTTTTTTGTGCAAATTCTTGTTCTCGATTTTCAGCATTCTGCGGCTTTGCATGATTTCTTTGAGATGCTTGCACTGAGTGCAAGAACTGAGCTTTAGGGAACTCAGCTTTTCGTTCAACCGAGTTATATGATCGTTCCGTTCTCGCAGCATTTTAATTTCTAAAGTTAATGAGTCGACGTTATTCTCGGAAGCTGCTTTTGTGCTAGAATTTTGGGATGAACAGTCGTTCAATACCGAAAGGTGTAACGAATCTTTGAACGAGACGTTCTGTTGTACAGTTTCAACGTCGTTAATAAATAGTAGGGAGTTAGAGAGCTTGTCGTTCTCTTCGGAAAGCATCGCCATCTTTGTTTTGAGTTCTGTTGCCTCGGATTTTAAGATCATGTTCTCGATGGTCAGTCCTTTTACAAGGTTTTTTGAATGCTTTGGAGTGCGTGGATTCGTTAAAGAAACCTCTAATTTACTCTTGAGGAGATTGTGTGCTTCCCTCAGACTGTCGCACTCCTCGTTCGTCTTCATTAAATTACTTAGTAGCTCGTCGTTCTCCTGTTTCAGGCAGGACATCTTTTCCAGAAGTGACTCGACCTTTTCTTTGTACGTGCAGTCATGGCCGTAAAGCAAGGCTTTGCTCTCCTTCACTTTGTCGAGTTCTTCAATTTTGTCCATTAAATCGGAAGAGAGTTCAATGTTCTCTTCTGTTAATTGTGCCATTTTTCTTTCATATTCCTCAAGTTTTTTCTGTACCTCCTCATCAGTTACGGTTGGAGGGAAAGCGCGATAAGTTTCCAATTCGTCCTTACAAATTGTCAGATCATTTTCCAGATTCGCTTTTTCTTCAGTGGCTTTTAATACCCGGCTGTAAAGATCGTCGATCTGGCTCTAACAAAAATAAACGTTTTCATAAAATTAGTATTTCTATCTACTTTACATTTCTACAAAATTTTGACTTATAATTGGAAAGTGCTTTAATGTACTTATGAGGAAATGATAGTACAACAATTTCGATTCCAAAACAAACTTTACCTGAAGTTTGAGCTCGTCTTCATCTGCACGTTTCTTTTCAGCAGTAAGTTTGCTGAACAAGTCTTCATTTTCTGAAGTCAGCAAAAGAATTGTTTTTTCCAACTTTCCAATGTCCACTTTTAAACTTTGAATACATTTTTTGACGTACTCGGATTCCTGAATTTTTAGCCGAAGCTGTTCTCCCAGCTTGGCATTCTTATTCTCGAGAGTAGATTTACAAATAACCAGTTCGTTCAAATTATTTAGTAATTCTAGATGTTCATCGTCGGTAACTTTACTTAAAATTGTTTCGTTCACGGCTTTCAATGTTTTAATCTGCTTCGTCAGATCCTCGATCTTCTCGCTCTTAAACTGGATATCAAACGACTTTGTTAATTCGTCGCTTGTTAAAAATTCACTGGTTTGGATATCATTTTCAGTAAAAGTATCCGATGCATCCATTTTATCAAAATAAGAAATATTTGAGAATATACCGCTAGTGTTTTCATAATTTTTAATAGATTTATCTTCAATTGATATTAATGAACTTTCGCAAACAGTTTTCACGGCAAGGGGACTACTGCAATCGAAGTCACTGGATTTCGATATGACTAATGCCTTTGATTCTTTAAATGAATTAAGTTGCTGACTCAACATTCGTTTATCTTCTTCCAGAATGCGCATCGTGCCTTCCAGCTCATCTATTTTGTTTCGTAGGTCAGAAGTTTCATTCTCCATTAATGCCACTTGTTTCTTCAATTGACATTTCAACTCATCGTTTTCGGTCTGGAGGTTCTTTATCAAATTTTGCAAGTCGTTAATGTTGGAACATGACTCTTTTACTGTATCGAGAGGATGTTGTAATATTTCCTTTCCTTCGTTTAAAATATGTACTTTCTTTTCAAGTTCCTCTATTTCATTTTGCACTGGGACTTCTTCGAATATGATGCTAGTACACGAGGATCGGTTCCTTTCTCTTTCACTTTCAATTAATTCTAACTCAAAGTCTGCAAAAGCAGTTTGGAATCCTGAAATATAAATTTATTGTTACATGCAGGATTTAAAAATTGTTTGCAACTAAAAGTACGTAAGCATCTTACTGACTTTCTTTAAGAATATCTGTTACTGTGGATTGGATGATACTCTGACGCCTTTTAATTTCTTGCATCCTCTCAGCCTCATGTGATGATTCATCCTCAAAGAATTCTCCAACACTAGGTATCCTCGATGGTAATGGTAATGGAACTTTACTATCTGGACCACCCCAAGTACGACGTCGTTTGGTATTTGTTTTGAAGTCCTTTTCATTCTGTATACTATTTCCTGATACGATGCGTGATTTCAATAATTCAATGCGCTGTTCCAAAATTTGATTCATTTGATCTTTTTCTTGGAGTTTTGTCTCCATATGTTCAACTTTTGCTGATTTCTGTTTGGAAGCCTGTATAAAATATTCGTAACATAAATTATAAATACTAAATTTAAATATTCAATGATCAAAGGTTATACTTGTAACACAGGCGCACACACACACTTGCTATAAAACAAAACTAAAAAACGTATAACATAGAAGGGTCTTCCATTTACCTGCAGCTCTGCCATAAGTATTGCCATTTGTTTCTTAATACGTTTCAATAGGGCCGCATCTGACATGACTTCATTCAAATGAGGTTGATTTTTTACACTCTTGGCTCGTGAAGCAAATCTTAAAAAATATAACACATCAGCTTAAAAAATTTGTGATTTGCAATGTAACAAATAAATGTGATGCATCAAATAATAGATTAGTACATACGCTAACGTACAATGTGTTTCATCAAAAGCTGCCAGGGTTACGGTACATATTATTGCAGTCATAGCATTACCACCTAATGAGTTTTGCAGGATTCTAGTAAGCTTGCTATCTCTGAAATTGATATACTTTTGGCCTTCTTGTGAATCGCTTAATTGTTTAATAACTAAACTTAATGCAGAAAGTGACATGTTTATGTGTTTTCCTTCTTTAAATCTTTCACCTGTTGCTCCAGTTTGGCGGGCTCTTTCGGAGCCTGCCAGATCAACTAAATTCAATTGTGATACCTTAATCGCACAATTAGAATCAGCATTCATTTCTCGACTTTCAATTATCTAAAATATTATTAAATTTGCAAAATATTTTAAATTAGAAAAATACAGACAACTAAAATTTGAATAGTCAATATTTATACAATTAATGCAGCTACTTTTTAAGGATTAAGTAATTTTATTAAATTTGAGTAACCATATAATTTACTTTGTATGTTGATACATTTTAAATATTGTACTTACAATGCGAAATATACTGTGACTTCGACTACTTTTCTCATTCATATTTGTTACACCTATTCTCCTATTCTTATCACCTTGCTTCATATATTTTAAAACTTCCTTTTCAGTTTGTATAACTTCTTCCTTGCAATTCATGTATACTTGTCCATTTATATCTTCATGCAACTTTAGATCAATGCTATCCTTTATTAAAAGATCATTTATCTTTTCATTATAAATTTCTAGATAAGAAACTCTGCAACATTAAAAATAATCATACTATGTCCCATATAGTGTACACTTAATTTGTTGAAACTTAATTATAATATTAATTGATACTGAACACAGCAAAAGAAGACTAACCTTAATAGAAACTCACGCTCGCAGGAGTTTGAGATTAAGTGAAATATATGTTCAACGGCAAGGGGCAATATTCCTGGTTCTTGTTCTGTCCCCATCATTGTATATGTCTTACCTGAACTTGTTTGACCATATGCAAATATAGTTCCATTAAATCCATTTACTACGGCTTCGATAACTGGTTTTGCCACATTATTAAAAATGTCGATATTTGTGCTATCTGCATCAAATATATGATCTGCAAATAGTTTTAAATATTACTTTAATATGACTTAAAAAACCAAATTGATTACATAAATATGACGACAACAAAATTAAGTAGTTTATGCTCAACGTTGCACAAATTGTTTCAGCTTGAAAGTTTTTTATGATTGAAAGTAGAATAATTTGCTATACATAAAACGTACCGAAGTGAAAGCCTCCTTCTGCACGTCTTCTTAAATCGGAGTCAATTGGTAAAATAGTTTTATCCTGAACCATCCATTGTATTTTCAGATTCTCCTCTTTCTCACGTTTTATCAAAGGCCTTACTTTAATAGCTACCTGTATGCTATCAGACATTTTCGAAATTTTTCACAAAGTATGTTTCACAGCAAAGATGACCTCTCTGTTCACAGTTTGATACAAACTTCGAGGTATTTATTCCAAGTTCACAGTACTTCTATATCACCTTTAAGTATTATTCCATATTAACTTTCTTATTTCTTCACATAATTAACTGATATCCGTTTTTGTATTTATAGTCCGATAGATTTCAAAATTTTCAAAAACTTGTTTACATTTTAATAACCGCCACTGGTCTTTAGCCAGTGTTGCCACCGCATTAGATAAATAATGGGCCAAAGTCCCACTGAGGTCCGGTTCCACAACTCGAGTTAACAGGAGTTTAATTCGTTTACAGCAAGTTAAAATCGAGTGTAAACCAATAAATCCCGAATTTAGGAGTACGATGGAGACATTGTCAGTGGTACCAAATTGGCACTTAGAATTTAGTAACATCCTAGGGCTTTTAATGGCATTCTGAATCATAGATATAGAATATGTCGATGATAGGTTTTCTGAGGTATTATTTTGACATCTATGGTAAAGGATGGCGCAATCGGGTGTGTCCTTTTTCGGATGATATTTTAGTTTCAGTTTGAAATAGGTGGGGTAATTTCTGTCATAAATTAAAATTATTCGATACCGTCGGAGCTTTAACCGTATCTGCATTCATCGGTTATATCCTTAGGAGGTAGCGAAATTCTAACCTCGTTCTGCTTATTTATGCTCTCAAGTTGAAGCTGTCAACGAACTTAGTGAACATCCGTCATGGTGAGTGTTATTGTTTTTCAACGTTCACTATGTAATAGTTAAAAATGATTTCTTGGAAGATTATAATGTTACGCTGATTATCCCCGTAAAATTCATTTTAATTCATGGGGCTGCTGCATTTCTCTTGACATTTGAATGTTTAAGGCATATATTTTCGTTCTGAGATGAATATTGTTTACTAATAAATTCATTGTTTAATTCCTTCAATTACCTTTTTTTATCACTTGAATATTGTAATGGTACATGATTGTTACATCTTTTTGATTCCATTTTTATCTGTTTCTCATTAGCCCAGGTATTGAAGCGATTGCATAGAGTTTGATTCATCTTGTTCTATGTAAGAACCCCGGACAATTTAATCATTCCTTTTATGTAGTGAAATTTGAAAGAGGAATATTGAATTTGTGCTTTAAATATTATATTGTACATAATCAATTTTCGAATGCAATTATTTTTAGAATTTATTTTCAGTTTGTCAATTTTATTTCTTAGGATGACGACGTAGCTGCTCTTCAGAGGCTAGAGCACTTAATGACGGAGTTCTTTTCTCCAGAAACAACTAACGAACGAAAACGAACGATCGAACAAAGTTTACATGAGTTTACTGCACAGATTAATTCATGGAGGCCTTGCCTTCATTTTTTGTCTTCAACAAATAATCACTATGTCAGCATGTTCGCTCTGTCAACATTAGAGGTTAGTGTTTAACTTAATTACAACCGTCATTAAAATGAATAATAAAACATTTTTATGCAAGATTATTATTATTTTAGACTACAATTGGAAGGCGATGGCTTGTTTTACCATGGGAGGACAGAGCACTCATAAGATCTACGTTATATACATTGTCTTTAGAGCGTGGAGTTGTCCCTTTTGTTCGAAACAAAGTGGTTAAACTAGTAGTTGACATTGCCAGGCATGATTGGCCACACTTTTATCCAGATTTCTTTTTTAATATATTGCAGGTAGATTATTATATCTTATTATGGCATTCATTTATCATTGTATTTATTTTAATATTGAATATATATTTGGTGAATAGTTACTGGATCATAAGCCCACACGTTTATTGGGTTTGGTATACTTAAGGACAGCATCAGAGGAGTTAGCGACACCGAGAGAAGACCTGCCTATTCAAAGGAAGACAGAGCTGTTCAGGCTTCTAAGTGCTCAAGTTCCTCGAACTCTTGATACACTTACAGGTATGTTATTAATGTTAATATATTTCAATAATATAGAAAAGTTTTATTAAATTTGTTTTTTTAAATAAATTACTTTATTTAGGTCTTCTTATTGAATCAACGAAGCTACAAAGCCGCTCAGGAACTGTAACGCCTCCACCTTCTCCTACCAGTGGTCAGAATGTATATCCTATACGTGCAGTTTTGGATGTTGAAGGACTAGCTACTGGAAGCAGTGAAGTGTGTATAGCTACTCTTGAAGTTCTAGCTCATTTATTTAGTTGGATTGCATTGTCTGACCATATATCTCCCAACTTATTGGATGCCATTTTCGCTTGTGCCAAGTATCACGAATCTATGGTAAATATATATATGCTCAAAATAAAATGCATTAATATTGCTATTCATTAAACTAAAATGTATGAACAGAATGGACGACAGTTAGACATAGCAGTTCAAGCAGTGACAACAATTAATGAGTTACTTTATCGACCATGCTCGCCCAGTGTTACTGAACGATTACTGTTGCAAATCTTCCAAAATGGTATTACACTATTTCAATGTATGGAGCGTTTAGATGCAATTGATGAAAGGTATTATCAAAATGTTAAATTTAATTTTGTTTTGCCATATGCAAATGATTCATAAATAAAATATTACTTTTTCAGCTATATGGAGAAAACAACTGAATTTTTACAGTTATTTGTGACAAATCATTTAAAGCGGATAGAATTATGTCCAAAGTTTCCTGTAAATACATTGTTAGAAGTATTATGCCATCATACGTTCCAACAATGTTCTACAGTGAATGGTTATTTGCGTTGTTTGGAAGTGTGGGCTGTATTGTTAGAGAGCTCTCAATCTCGTGATGCTACTGTGGCATTGGTTCTTGCTGAACGAGTTCTACAAAAAATCAGTTTTAAACTTGATGCTCAGACTTTAAAAGATCTCGATACAGAGACTCTTGATGAAAACGTAACATGCAATCTATATCGTTTGTCTTTCTCTTTTTTTCCATTACTTAATTACTATCTTTAACCATTATTTGTAGGAGGAGACTGAATGGCAACATTTTCTGCGGTGTAATGTGGAATGTTTAGCAAAAGTTGCTGACATATCACCAGTACCAATATTTACTTTGCTGGTAAGAGGTTAACAGTGCTAGTATGTAATCATTTATTGAAATTTGTAATGTGTCGTTTGTTTATATTACTTCAGAACATAGTTTATTACTGTATAACTAGGTTTTCGCTGTATAAGGATTGTAATTTTAATGAGAGTAGTTTCTTTTAAATTTTAAATATGATGTTCTTTTAAAATTAAATATTTAATCGACTGTTGCAGTACCGATCATGGAGAGAAGGGTTAACAATCTATGTAGAATTAGGTTCTGCAGTGGCTAGTGGTAGTGTTATATTATTGAATGACGTCGAGGCTTCTAATGTGCATGCTCACCTGCGGGATCTAGCATCAACAACTCAGGGTCTTGCACGATTATGCACACTCTTTACCGGTGGGTTTTATTTTTATAAAATTGTCGGAGTAATAATTGAATGCTGTTATTCAATGAAAGTATTATTTTCTTGAATTTTGCAGACGAGACAGGTACGGATCATTTAATGGTTGAAGAACTGGTCATGCAAACCTTAGATGCTTGTATTTTTGCCAGAGATAATCAGCTCTATAAAGCTGCAATACAGCCCTCTGTGATTGTCCTGGATCTCATTGAAGTGTAAGATAAATTTTTATTTTTTGTCACTCTAACCATTGTCACATTGTTTAGTTACAATATACATTTTAATAACATTAATAAGAGTAACACGATTAATCAGAAATAAATACATAATAATTATGAGATCGTTTAATCACTTTAATTAAGATAAATAATTAAATTATTTTGAAGTTCTAATGTATTTTATTATTTTTGTTTTCAGACATTCCCAACTGCTAGCGTCATTACAAGCATGGTGTCACTGGATAGCGAAGCGACCAGAAATCACGAGAGATGTATTATGTCTACGATGTGTACGTTGTTGCATCTGGGCATTATCATATGCAACATCTTGCGATGTTCCAGGAAATCTAATCCACTCAGCGGCTCACCTCCTGCAGAGTGTGACTGCAATACTTAAGCCCAATTTATGGGACCGGCCAACATTTAGAGATTTACTATGCATAGGCAATCACTCATACCTCAAACCGGATACAGCAAAGGTTCTGCGAAGAGCGTTAACAAATGGAATAGTTCTTCCTCATTTAGATGCTGTAACCCGACAAAGACTTATGGGTAAATGATCCTATAATTTTTCTTGACGTGACACCATTCTTTAGTTAAAAATATTAGTTCTTTGTGTACTCCAATTCAAATATACATTAAAAACCAGGCAAATGAAAATCAACAATTGTAGACACTCTAATTCGATAAATTAGGTACCATGGTAGCAGCTCTTGCCGAACCTTTGGGTCCTCAAGGTCATGCAGTACCTTCCGAGGCAGCAATCATAGCTGCATTAGTTCCTCTGAAACAATTGCTCGAGGATTGTTGTCCACCTTCAACAGCCATCAAAAAGTTGCTGCATTCTTGTCTGGAGGGCACAATAAATCGAACTCTTGAGCTGCTGCCTCATTTTGTTCGATGTCAGGGTACCTGTGAATCTCTACTTACTTTCCTACATGCAACATTCCTAGTTTTGCAGGAACAATTGGGTCCAGAATTTACCCAAAATGCTGTACAAGGAATACTACACATTTACACACGGTACGACTTTTCATCTTTATTTATTCTTGTATGTAAATTGCATTCATGATGTGTACAGGAAACTCAAACCAATTGATTCTTTAAATTACATTCTCCGACAATCCCAGATTTTAGCCTGAAACAGTTGGTCAGTTTATGACTGGTGATTTTAATCATTTTTTTTGTTCCTTTCCCCTTATAGAGAAAACATTTCAGCAGGGCCAGCGCTGGATCAATTTCTGGAAATATTGATACTAGTAGTATCTGCCCCAAGCAACGCATTCAAGGCGTTCGTACCCTCTGTAATCGGTCTCTGCTTAGGACGTATCTGGCCCTTGCTTTCTAATGATCTCAGTGCACATCCAGATACCACTCTCGTTCTTTTACGACTTTTTCATAGGTAATCCGTAATAATTTTCTTTGTTTTTTCTCACTAAGCAACGAAATCTACTTGCATTATATTAAAGTAAGGTTATATTATGAATAACTATTGAAAAAAAAATGATTATAGTATATTGATGCATCGGTGGCAATACTTTTACAATGCTTCGGTGTTGCGAACGTTTGGTCATCCTGACAGCGATGAGCCTGTTGCACATAAGGAGGAAATCGTTGCCATCATTGAGGCTTTTGGGCAAGCTCTTTTACAACCAGACGTTAACATATTTCGACAGAGTCTTTTAAGTCTGGAACACTTAAACTCGAGATGGCGTCTTTATCAAAGATCCATATTTAACAATGACTTCTTGGAGAGATTCCTGATGGCTCTATTTACAGTTCTATTTCAACGGTACTTGAAAGGAATTATTAAATGACTCTTAGCTTGAATTCATACATTTTTAAACAATTTTATATCTATTAATATTTATGATTTTCAGATCTCATAATTTATTAGCCGATGAAATAGCGACCGCAGTGCACAGTCTGGTCACCGTAAAACCTGTAAACTGGTTCTATGGATATTTCCTACCAAAGTTCATAGCCAGTTGTGAAGGTCTTGATGATGTACAGAAGAACTCGCTATTAAATAATTTCGAAAAAGCAACCGTAAGCTCAAGATTACATTTATTTTGTAGAAACATTTTGGTGAAATTTATAATTAAAATATAGTAGCTCTTTTACGAATCTTTTTCATATATTTTTTTAATGCCTTATTGAGAAGTCCGTATATGTTTACAGATTTCCGAAAGTAAATAATAAATACCTCTTATTTTCAGGATCAACCAACGTTGACAAGATCTGTTTTGCGATTGGTTTCCGACTTAAGGTGTTATCAGCTCTGCCGACCGGACTTAACGACTCACTTTCGGGGCTGTAAAATCGAATAATACGCGCCATGCCGAGTATTTTAAAAAATATGAAAGTACTTCTCCGTTAAGTCGTCAATTATTCCGATGAATAGAGTGCATATGCGTCCGCGGAAGATAATACGTGAACAGGAGCATTTACAGTAATTATCGTTCACGGTACAACATTGTATGTGAATCACTGCCGTACGTTTCATACGATTTTATTATGAAATTTTATTGTTATTAATCAAACTTGTCTTTTGATACAAATTACTCAGTTTTCATTCAGAACTGTTAACGTTCTATCACCCATCATTTGCATTGTAAATACCATAAATTTAATCAACGTATTCATTATATGTATAAACGTATACAGTAGGTACATTGTTCATCTTCAAATCTTTTTACGTTTTTCATCTAAAGATGAATATATAATAAGAGTAACTTGTAACAGTGTACAGATTCTTTAACCACGAGTATCGGATGAAAAATATTAAAGATCAAAATGTCTTTAATGAAAATGTTATTCACTTAATAATGATTTTCCGAATCTTGTAATACTATGTAAAGTGCAATAATGACTTATAAGCGTTTATGAAAATAAGCACTTATATATTAAGAAACGCGGTAGTGTCCAGTAGCGTCTCAGCAAGTTCATGACCGCTACCGCTCCCTTTTACTCGATATTTTCAACTACAATAGTGTTTTAATTCAATTCGACATCGTGAATTATTATAACATATATAAATCCTAACGAGGTGATGTATTTAAATATATACAAATTTCATTTGAAATCAAAAGGTATTTTGGGGGAAAATTAATTTACATTATTTTAACAAATAAATGTTTGTACACTCTATGCAAGACAGTGATCTACGACAAACCTTGTAAACTTGCTTCGTATTTACCTACGTGCAACGAAAGTTTCAGACTGCGCTATCGAGGATCCTTTTTGAATCAACAATGTTTTCAAAGATAAGGATGTAGCGATAACCCTCCGATCCCGAGTCTCTTCTCCCGGGTTTAACTTCTCAGAGTCAGTTGGCTGGTAACTGAGATAACAATGTCCCGCTTGTTATTAAAGAGTGTTTCACAAATTCCAGAGGTGCAAATCACCAGGAACCTGGTCACCAATTCTAAATATGGATTTCTAAAACAGCTTGGACTGAACGTTGAAAATCCTGGATTATTTGATGGGATATGGGGAGGCTCAGGAAAAGTAAGAACGTCTTAAACAACAGCAGAATTCTTGTTGACAATAATTTTTACATGAAAATTATATTGTCGATTGGGTTTATATCATTTTTGTGGGATGAATATAAACGAAACTTATCATTTTTATTTTTCAGATTGTAGAATCTATTTCACCAGCTACGGGAAAAGTAATAGCAAAGGTGAGAGAAACTACACCACAGGAAGCCAGTAATGCAGTAACGGAGGCACGTAAAGCTTGGCCACAATGGGCATCGTTACCAATGCCTGCAAGAGGAGAAATTGTTCGACAGATAGGAGATGAGCTGAGAAAAAATTTAAAACCTCTCGGTCAACTGGTTTCTCTTGAGATGGGTGAATTATATTTTAATACAATTTGAAAGCATGCAAGAAGTGATATTGTTTAGACATTTTTAGTTTAGAAGTATATAAAATATAACACAGGTGTAATGGCCCATATTTTTCTAGGAAAGATATTACCAGAAGGCATCGGAGAAGTTCAGGAATTCATCGACATATGTGATTACGCTGTTGGATTGTCAAGAATGCTGCCAGGATATATTTTTCCTTCTGAAAGGAAAGACCATGTTCTTATAGAAAAGTGGAATCCTTTGGGCGTAATTGGTGTTATTTCAGCTTTCAATTTCCCGATAGCAGTAAGCATCAATTATTTATAATTAGTTTACGTGTGTTATTAACGGATATTTATTATGTAGGTATATGGCTGGAATACCGCGGTAGCAATGGTATGTGGAAATGCAATTGTTTGGAAAGGTGCACCCAGTACACCATTGGTTTCCATTGCAACAACGAAAATCGTTGCTAGTGTATTAGAACGCAATGGTATTCCTGGATCGATAGCTTCATTGGTTTGTGGCAGTGAAAGTGTCGGAGAAACTTTAGTTAATGATAAACGGTAATTCAGATATTTATACTAGTTTGATAGTTATGAATCTCTTAGATTTTTAAATACGTAAAACTGCATTGGAATGCTTTCCGAAGGAATTTAAGTTAATATTTCTTTATATTTGTTTCAGTGTTCCACTTATTTCCTTCACTGGAAGTACGAAAGTCGGGAAGCAAGTTGCTTTAAAAGTTCAAAATAGGTTTGGCAAAGTTTTACTAGAGCTTGGTGGGAATAATGCTATAATTGGTAAATATAATATTAATGTTATCTATTTTTTGAACTTTGAAGCTATTTATTTTTTGTACTTAATACTGAATCATTATTGTTTCCAGTTGCACAGGACTCAAACCTTGAAATGGCTGTTAGGGGTGCAGTATTCTCTTGTATCGGTACAGCTGGACAGAGGTGCACAACAACCAGGAGATTAATACTTCATAGCAAAATTAAAAATGAATTTTTAGGTATTGTTGAAATGGAATTAATAGAACGATTGTTTTCATGTAATGATACTGCAAAAATAATATTGTTTCTGTTAAAATTCACAGGAAGACTTCGGACTGCTTATGAGAGTATCCTAGGAAGGATCGGTGATCCTCTAGACGATGCAACTCTTTATGGTCCATTACACAATCAAAAAGCTGTACACGCATATAAAGTACTCTTTTGACTATATATTGTCTAGAATCTTTGGTTATAAATTATTATTATTTGGTTACATGTAGTTTTACTATATATTTCATAGGAAACAGTGAAGAAAGCTATGGAAAGTGGAGGTAAAATAGAGTTTGGTGGAAAACAGGTGGAACGACCTGGTTACTTTGTAGAACCGACAATAATTTCTGGTTTGGCAATCAGTGATGAAGTAGTACAAAATGAGACATTTGCCCCAATTGTTTATGTCTTTGAAGCAAAGTCTCTCGAGGAGGCTATTGCTCTTAACAACAATGTTGAACAGGGATTAAGCAGTTCACTTTTCACTCAGAATGTAGCAAATATATTCCAGGTATAGTAATTACGCATTTAAATGTATAGTAGCATTAGATATCCTTAAGAAAAATCTAATTATTCTGATTTTTGACATTTCATATTGTTGTGACATTTAAGTTTTGTATTTATATTACTGTTTACGATTACGGGATATCAATTTGATTCTTCAAATGTTTTTAGTGGATTGGACCACATGGTTCAGATTGTGGAATAGTAAATGTAAACATTGGTACCAGTGGAGCAGAAATAGGTGGTGCCTTTGGTGGAGAAAAAGCTACCGGAGGAGGTCGGGAAAGTGGCAGTGATGCTTGGAAACAGTATATGCGACGTGCGACTGTAACCATTAATCATGGAAGTGAACTGCCTCTAGCACAGGGTATCAAATTCGAATGAACATGAAAAAGAAACTTGCGATAAAGTTCAGATGGACTTTAAGGATTTATTTCAAACCTTATAAAGTCAACCTGAATGTCAACACTGGATTTCTTGTGAAACTTGTAAGCTTGCGGTAGGTCATATCGTAGTTCAGCTATGACATTCCCTTTCGCACCAAGATCCATAGCTCGTTTAAGAACGTATCGACGAGTGCTAGTCTTATGGAGTGAATACACAGCATTGTTGGCGAGCTTACAGGCAATTTCCAGAAATCTCATGTCGACGCCAGCATTGTGTTTTGTTCCAAATGGTGGATTCATTACCACTGTGTCAAAGTATTTTTCAAATTTGCCTGAAATTTTGATAATTGTTTTGTATTATGCTGTATCATAACAACAACATGTAACATTATACACTGATTTGAATTATATAAAACTTATAAAGAAAATAATTTGTTCGTTATTGTAAAATAAAGAACTTAAATAAGAGCTATTCATCTGAATTTTCTCCCTCTTTTTACAAGAAACAGAAAATGTGTATTTTAGAACTTATAAATTCATGAATTATTAACAATTTTACCTGGTAGGTAAGTAAGTACATCACATTGGACTGCTTCTGTATTCATATCAATTTCATTAGAATTTCTAATGAGGATTTCAAGAGCATCTGGATCTATTTCAAAGCTTAGAACATGGCTGGCACCAAGCATTTGAGAACCTAGTGAGAGAACACCACATCCAGCTCCGAGATCAGCCACAGTTTTATTCTCTATGTCAGCATACTGAAACTGTGCTGCATATAAAATCTGTGCTCCAATATGAGCACTTGTTGGGTATTGCTCTAACAATATCTTAGGTTTCTCAAATGCATCTAATTGCTGAAGATACTGTTCTAATTCTCGTAGACGTAGACGAGCCATTCTTAATTTTTTCCCAACACACTATTCTTACATATTGCAAACTCTATCAGTTTACCTATTTCTTGGCATTTATTCTCTTTTAATGAAAGATCACTTGGCGTCAAACCGAGGAAGTACCGGTAAAATTAGATTGCCAAAAGATGAGTCCTGAGTAACAAAATATCCAGCCGAAGCAGCATGAGCATTATGAAGAGCTGCACGTTGAGATGCACTCATTGTTACGCCATCGGTAGCTGGAGCTGTAGGCTAGTGAAATAATTAATTTAGTAATAAATGAAACGTATTATGACTTATAATTCTTATGTACGATTTTAATAATTTTTTAATTAAATAGTTAATTATGTTCTGTTTCTTTTTAAAATGACCACATAAAGAATTTTCTTTTACCAACAGTTTAACTTAATTGTAAATAATGTATTTCAATTCATGTGCTAATACTATTAAATTATATGACAATGAATATTACCAAACCAGAAGCGGAACTAGCAGGAGGAACGGCCAATGGTGTCCCCAGTGATGGTGCCACTCCTTGCTTCAAAAGTAATTGCTTCTTTAACTGTAATTCTTCCAAGATTTTCCTATTTTGCAGTTCTACAATACACCGAAAATATTTGTACATAACCTCTCACGAACATTTTGTATAACAGCATAATAAGACATCAGGTACCTCTAGAATTGGGTTGTGGAAAAGCCATGAATTAAATTGTAATTTGTTTTCAGACCATAAAAATCGTTTCTGTTCTTCGAAAACACTCAACACCATTCAACACTTCATCAAAATAGGTTAGGTCTAATCAAGTCGTATTCAACAGGTGACGTCAAGAGACGTTAAAAGCAGAGATGTTAAAAGAGAAAAGAAAAATAAACACAATGTATATACTAGACAAGTTATCTCAAAATCCTAAAGAAAATAAACTTATGTTGCTTTAAAAGCAGCAATTAAAATAAAAAGCACCTTGTAACGTTTCCACGAAATAAAATACAAAGGGTCAACAGATTAACTTTCTTGATCTTGAAAATGACAGTTTAATGAGGCGCTTTTCTTCTTATTTATAGTGATTCTGTACATAACTGCTTGTACAAAATACTTGTAATTTCTATTTACCTTACATATTATGTGTAAAAAATCTTAAACATGCGTGTATGCATGTATACATGCGCGATCTTATAGAAGAGAAAGGACATGTGTCAATTAAATTGTTATGAATTGAATAGGTACTAATTACGTTCCTTTTAAATCATTGCGCTTAAAATACGCTCTTTGGAGCGTATAGTGGCAACGTGGATGATTATTACCAGATATTACGCGGAGGGTCAATCAGGGTCAACTGGATAAAGGCTCGAGATCGTTTTATGAAACTGTATGAAATGGTTACAAAACAATTTATTTCTGGACAATCATTTATTTTGAAACGGCGTCCAATATGACATAATATGTTATAAAATAAGGGTGTAGTATCTAGAAACACTTATAATACACATTTTACAGTGTCATCAATCCAGTTATCGCATTTTTCACAACGCGACCAAAATAAACTTGAAAAAATCCGCCGGTAACTGGGGATTTCCTTTATCGTCTCTTCGTGTCTCTTCTCTCGACGCATCACGCGGTCGGTAAATTACCAAGTTACGAAATTCCTCTCTTCCCGATGTGTACAGTTAGTACCTGTGGCATCCGCTAGCGCTCGGTGGCGGTGCAGCGCATGCGCAATTGGCGCCGCCTCGCGGGGATCAGTGGACAGTCTCACCTCCGAAGTGATCGTGACGAGTTGTTCTCGCGGTAGCGTTTCCCCGGTGATTCTCGCGGTCTCCTTCAACGGCCAAATCTCCCGAGGCTGCTCTACCGCGAAAAACGTGAGTACAGAACCGGGCGATTCGTGTAGCAGCTGTCGGACGCGAGTCCTTTCGCGGTAGGCCGGCGATTCGGCGAGACTTTTCGCGGCCAGACGTGACGGCTCCCCGAGAGCAAGATGGCGGCGCGCGATTTACAACAAACCGTCTCCGCTCTAGACCGCGGCCTCGCGTCTCGCCGCTCCGACCTCGCGATTGCTCTTCGCCGCTCGACGCCGCTTCTTTACGGAACCTCTCTAATTCCTGCAAATTCCGCTCGAATCCTCGCGCTTCTCCTCCCTAGGGCCGAGCCGAAGGGAAAGCTCTGACGCGCTGCTGCTGCTGCGTGATGTCCCGGAATTGATTTTTTCCCGAGTGGCCGAGCGCTCGGCAGATCGTCCGCTTCGCTGCTCCGCGATCGACTTGCCGAATCGTAGGGTGTCGCTCGATCTGTCGCGAAGTTAACCTTTGCCCGGTGGCTACCGACTCCCTCGCATCTGATAGCGTTGTCGGTTATGCGCCTCGGGTGCTGTCACCTGCTTCATCGATTCGCGGGGCTTCGGCAACGTGCTCGCCTGAGTTGCGGGATGCTGCTCGGTTTATCGCGGAATTCTTGCTTATATCGGCACTCTGTCATCCGAGAATATCCTTTGTGACGCCTTTCGGTCACATGCTGTCAGTTATTTCATCTTTCATCATTTTAACGCTTGTTTTAACTCGACAAGTCACAGATTGTTAGTCGCGTAAATGTACATTTGTATACTCATCGTTGATTATATGAGTTAATCTAAAGTGTGTAAGTAATCATTTATTGTTCTTGTAACTGTTCTGCATACATTGGGTGCAGCTCGATTGTGATATTTTTTTACTAATGTATCGCTGATTTGTCATAAATATAACCTTTGCACGGGTGGTGCCAACTAAATTGTATCTGATAATGTCGGTACGTTTTGGATGCTGCGAGCAGTTTCACTCTGTGACAAAGTTTTGATCGACTCCGTATTGACTATTTAGTTAAATTGCAAGATTTTTATTTGTTTATTGTGAAATTCTTATTCATGTTAATGTTTTGTCAGTTGAGAATCTGTTTTGTTCTCAGTTGTAATCATATGCTACTTTACGGATCCTAGTTTTTATGTTAGTTTTGATGTGTTAAGTCTGATTTTTTGTCAAGTAAATGTCTGTATAATTTTTTAATTTTTTTTTTTCTTAACTGATAACATTATTGATTATATGTCTTATACAATTTTAACGGATAGCGTATCGTGCAGCTTTGACATTATGCTTTTCATTTAATGGGGTAAAAGAAAAGGAAATTCGTTGACACATTTTTCTAATTGCTTTGCACATTGTTGGAATCATTGTTAAATGAAATGAAGTTCATAGCAATTCATAATTGTCATTCCAAAATCTTTAGTTTCTTTCTTAATATCTTCATTTCGTTAGCAGCATTAAAGATTCTTTTTTTTTTTTAATTTTCAGAATATTAGGGAGCCTCCGATGGTACATTGGGTTTCTCTCGTGAACCAAGATTGTAGCCATTGACTATTCTACAGGTAAATGATTCCATTTCACATTTAATTGTTAAATAACATAAGTCACTTCAGGACACATGCATAATTTTTCAAATAATTAAACCCCAGCTGTAGTTAAAGTATCCAATCAGCTGTTAAAATACGATGACAAAAACATTGCACAAAAGAACTCTTAAATCCAAAAACGTGACACAGAGAACGAAGTGACAATCAATCGAATTACAGATTCCGCATGAGAAATATCCAACGATGCTGGAAAATTGTCAAATGGGGCATTCCGTAAGAAGCTGATACATCTATTTTTGTTTTTTTATTGACAAACCAGTGACATCTACGTATAAATTAATAATAATTATCTAAGTCAAGTATCAACGATAGAGACAATTATCTAAACCGATTAAAGTGCTGAGATATTCCCGGAGGAAAAAACGGAGAATTTACCCATTCTTCGGGTTATGCAACTTATTTATGTTCCTCCGAAGGATGAATACTAATTAAATGGTGCGTTAGGAGTGCTTTATTATTTAGCCCGTGACGCTAAGCAATCTACATCTCAAGTGGGGGAGAAATATTGGTTAAAATCGCAAGAGAGTCCTCTAAGCATTCCGGGCGTGCCGAAAAAGTAAAACTCGGGGTCTCTTTTGGTGATCTTTAGAAGTTCCACTCGAGGCAGACTAATTTCTCGATTACGATCGAAGGGCTGGCTGGTTCATTCATTGAAATCGACGCGCGGGCTCGTGGCCGGCCTCCGATGTGACGTACTGCCGAGAAAGTGCAATAAATAATAGACTGCAGCATGGGCACCCGGCGGGGTTGGTGGGCGTCCGGGGGGGTAGATACATATTGATTGCGAAAAGCCGCACGCACAGCGGCGACACTTAGCTGCATCGTCTAGAGCGACGCGACTTTTCAAGGTTTTTACGAGCAACCTGGCCGGCACAGTGACCTTCGAACAGGAATTCTGCAGTTAGGCCGCGCGCCATTTTTGAATCGATTTTGCGTCCTTACTTATCGATCCGATCGTTCAGTTTTTGCGAACGAGTTTTTCGGGTTTCTCATAAAACGCGCAGTGTAGAGCTTCGGCGCGATTGGAAAGAGGATGACGTGACGTTGCAGGGTTATTTTCAAACGTTTTTTTTTTTTTTTTAATGAACTAACGAGGAGTGTTTTCAGCCAGACTGCCGGGAGCGACCGGGCGCCATTTTGGAATCGATCTCGCGCTCTTACCTATTCGATTGTTCAATTTTTGCGAACGAGTTTTTCGGTTTTCATATAAAACACGCAGTGGAGAATTTCGGTGCGATTAAAAAGAGGATCACCTGACGTCGCAGGGTGGATTTTAATTTCTTATATATGTATATAAGCTCGCGGGGAGTGTTTTCAGCCAGGCTGCCGGAAGCGTCCGGGCGCCATTTTTTAATCGACCCGATTCGTGTCTGGGGACACAGTTTGTAGAGTGGTCGTTTAATGCGCGGTACACGATTTTCGTTAAACGGAGATAATGGTGACCCGGCGATCGTTGGAACGAGTTTTTTTTTTTAATGTCCCTTTACGAACAACCCTACCGGCACAATGACCTTGGAACGGAGATTCCTCCAGCTAGGCTGCCATTCCCGAATCGATCCGCCGCTTTAATCCGCCGATTCTATCAGTCCAACTCTTTCACGAAGTGCAGTTTATGCAACTAGTAGCACCGCGATCGGATGTAACAACCGTGGGACATGATTTATAAGGGGAACGATCGCTTTACTAGGGGATTCTAAGACGGACGTAAGAGGAAGAAGGAAAAAAGGGTGGCATTGGAGATGCCTCGATATTTCCACCTCTCTCTCTTATGGAGTCTTAATTAAATTTACTCTATTAGGTAGTGATAAACGGTAATTGATAATTAATGTCGTTTTCCAGGCAATGGTGATGGCCAAGCATTGAACTCGATCGGACCGGAGGGTCTAATCGTGCTCCCGCGAAACAACGCCCCAGGAATCAGCCAGGTCACCCGAGGATCATGAAAATGGTCTTGTCGCAACGTCAGAGGGAGGAGTTGTAAGTCACGGGTCGACTTTTCAAGCGTAAAACCTGCTATGGCAGGCATCAACCGTCTGTCGGATAACCAAGGGATGGATCCACCCCCGCACGTGGGAATCGAGAGACCCGATCAAGCGGTCGTCTTAGCGGCTCCGAAAACGAAACGCTGGCCAACACCCGGGCGATTGATCCCAGGGTCCTTTAATTGACCCGCCAGCGCTCGATGCATCGGAAACGACCAATAGAATTCGCGGACGAAATGGAATCCTTCGCGGGTCAGGGGGTGCCGGTTTTCGATTGGTTTTCTTTCTTTTGCCGCGAGCCGCCGTGAACATTCGACCAATCGTCGTGCACGACACATTGTTCGGCGGTAATCAATAGAATTCGAGGTATTTAGTGCTATTCCTTGAACGGACTCCTTCGCGGGGAAATATAGGAGCGTAGGTCATCTCTCGAGGTGCGGTAGTTTCTGTGATTTAAAGATTTTAGCAAAAAAAAAGAAAAATGGCAGAGTTCGTTTTCGCATGTACTGCAAGTTTTATGTAGAATTCGCCATTGATACGGTATAGGGTCGCGGGGAATTTCTGTGGTTTGATGATTTTAGTAAAAGAAAGGAGGATGACAAAATTGGCATGGTTCAGATTTTCGCATATAGCGCAAATTTTCGGTGGAATACGTCTTTCGAAACGGGACATGGATGGTTTAGGTTCGCCGAACTCGATAGATGCACGCTTCTCTTTCCGGGCAGGATATTCCTTGGTTCTCATCGGATTTATTTTTGACACTTTTCCGGACCTCCCTAACTCCTTCTCTGACTATCGTTTACGTCTTCGTCAATTTCGTTGCCTTTCTACGCCAGTTAATTCCCCATCTTGGACGCTTCGCAGGGTCTTTCCCGTAAGAAAGTTCAGGGAGTTTTTTTTTTATTTTTCCTTTCTTAAAACATAACGTAGCGAGTTGTCAGCTCGCCGAGGATTATTCGCTTTCGATCCTGTGACGCCAATTTTGGGAGATATAAATTATTTTACGATCCCGGCTACGTGGAAAACGAAGCCAAAGTTAAGACGACGCCATTTTGCGAATTGGGAAAACTTTGGAAGACCTCGTTTCCTTTACATAGGCCCTTCCTCTTCCGAGTAGGGTACATTTCATTCCTTTATTTTCTTCTTTGGAGCAATTATGCGAGCGACAGTCCGAGTGGCAGACTTCCATCGGGCCGCACGGATCCCCCTCGTTACCTTGACGTACCTTCCTACGAAAGACGTATTCCACGTCGAAACCTCCGAAAATCCGCATCCAGGGCGGATTCTGGAAAGTTGCCGGTCATTCTCTCCGCGGCGTTATCCGGAGATATCGCACACTAAGGGTGAGGAGCCGTGCTCGCGGGGGGTGCGAAGCGGCGGTCCGTCTTGAGCACGCGCCATTCGCGCGATCGATACCATAGACTGGAGAGAGCCAGAGAGCGAGAGAGGGAGAGAGGGGTAGAGAGAAAGGGCGAGACCGCGAGGAAGGTGGGCGGCAGCGAGGGGGAGCGAGACGGAGAGCATGCGAACTCGCGAGAGAACGAGAGAGACGCACCGGCGCCCCGATCGATGGGTGTCTCTCCGCCGCCCACGTTTCGCCCACAACCCCCGGGTGACTTGAATCGCCCTCGTCGGAATACACCCCGGCGCGTGACGTCATCCATCGAGGAGTCAAGACCAGGCCTCTCTCTCTCTCCCTCCTCGGTCAACCCGCGACTTTAATGGGAACGTCCGTCACGAGAGGGGCTGCTCTTCCTCCGACTTCTCTATACCGTGTCGAAAGCCAATTCGTTAGAGCTTCCTCTTCGTCCCGGATGTATGGTTTCGCACGAAACCCCTTTGGTTTCAGGGGACGGGGTGTTTTTTTTTATTTTTTTTTTTCATTTTAGGAACTTTAACCCTCTTCAGCGGCCCGCCACTCCGGGGATAAGCGATCGGTGCGAGCGACACGCGAGCGTTGACCAACGCCGGTTGTCCCTCGTCTTCGTCGTTTTCTTCTCGTGCGGGGCTGTGTGAACCTGGAATCTAGTTTGAGGCAGAAAGAAAATTAACAGGCTTATTTGAATGTTTTTGTCATGTAGATGTTTGTGCCATTTTTTTTTTTTTTACAAAAATCAGAACTGTTAACCCTTTGAACACGGAGCCATTTCGACATATGGGCGAAATTCGTCTGACCGTGCAGGCAATATTGGACCAAACGTCGGGCGCCTTTAGGCGCTCTTAGGAGCCAAAGGGATGAAAAAGAAAGATGAATTCCGAAACTGACTATTTTAACGTTTTCGAGGTTCTGGGAGGCTCTGAATTTTCCTAACGTCAGAGAACCCATTGGAGTAGAAAAATCGAAATTTCCACGATTTCGGAATTGGTTTATATTTTTGAACAGCTTTGGTTTTTGTACAAAAAATGCCTCGAACAAAACTCAACATGACGCGAACGTCTACATCACAGAAACAATCCAATAAGCCTGTTAATTTCGTTTGTGCCTCAAACTGGATTCCGGGTTCACACAGCCATTGAACAAGACTCGAGTATGCACGATCAAGACCATGGTAGGCTTGGTGTTGGTCCTGCATTTGCTCATCACTAGTGCTAATATGTCACCATTAAACGGGACCCTGTTCCATAAATGTACATCTAACGTGCAGACGGTATCCGACATTCCGAGACTGCCATTCCATGTCTTAGATGCGTTAACAGAACTTAAGCTTGTTTATTTGGAATGTCTGATACTTTGTCATACGAGTCTTCTTGTTTGGATGTACAAATGTAATATCGGGCGATTGTAGCTGTTTGTAGTATGTACGTATTGATAGGAATACTCAATGACAAGTAACAGTGGTCGCTTGTAATGCGTGGCAGAAAAGCGGCTGTGGTTGCCAATAACGGCGGAAGGGTTAAGGAGGGCTCTTTTAATCGGGTTGAATGAATTATCTTGCAGAAATAAGGCGATCGCAGATTATCTAAGCACCAACGGCTACCAAGATGCGCTCGAGGCGTTCAAGAAGGAGGCTGATATGCCCGGGGAGGTGGAGCGCAAGTACGGGGGCCTCCTCGAGAAGAAGTGGACTTCGGTCATCCGATTACAGAAGAAGGTAACGTCAACTTGAGAGGAAAGCTCAAGGCCGAGGACGTGGGAAATTACCTTCAATTGATTTTGGAAAGTTCCCGGGATAAGGTTCCGCATTGCCTCAAGGGATGGAGAAGTTCCTCATTCGGCCGTAAAATGAGAGCTTTAGGCACTGAAAGTTGTAGAGAAGAACGTCGGGAAATTAGACAAGAATTACGGTAATTTTATTAATCCTACAAGGTGGAATGTCGGGAACGACCCCTGATGATCTTTAATTTGTTTAAAAATATTGTAGGCATAATTTAAATGGATCCGAAAGAGCGAATTCAATGCAAAATAGTTCTTCGAGATCTTACGGCTGGAGGTTTCGATGGATTTAATGTTTAGGCACTGGAATGGAGCTTAATGATAATGGAGCTTAATGGTAATGGAGCAATGGTAATGGGTTTTAGGTAATGGAATTGGAGTCCAAGCTGTCCGAAGCGGAAAAGGAGTTCATAGAGGGCGCGCCAACGCGGGGAAAAAGGTCGCCGACAGAATGGATCCCACGACCACCCGAGAAATATTGCCTCAGTGGACACAGAGCCCCGATCAGCAGAGTCATTTTTCACCCGGTGTTCAGCCTCATAGTCTCGGCCAGCGAGGACGCGACTATAAAGGTGGGAGATGATTTTCGTCTAGATTAATTTTAGCCCATAGTCGCCAATCTGCCCCGTTCACTTGCAGCGTAGTCCAACGTAAATTCCATCTAAGATCTGGAGCAGACATCCTTAATGTTTGTTTCCTTTTTTAGGGGTGGATGTTGAGAACAGCGAGTTCTAAACATATGTTCCCTGCTCTAAGTGTTGGATTTGGAGACCGACGAGCTCTTAACACTTTGTCATCCGATGTCTGCGGCTTGCACATAATTTTACCCTACAAGATGTCAGTTGGTTAACATTTGTTCCCTGTGTTAGGTATGGGACTTCGAGAGCGGCGAGTACGAGAGGACATTAAAGGGCCACACGGAGAGCGTCCAGGACGTGGCATTCGACGTGTCCGGGAAATTGCTGGTCTCCTGCAGCGCGGACATGTCCATCAAGCTCTGGGACTTCCAGCAGTCGTTTGCTTGCATCAAGACTATGCACGGCCACGATCACAACGTCAGCTCGGTGTCGTTCGTACCCCAGGGCGACTACGTCGTGAGTGCGTCGCGCGACAAGACTATCAAGATCTGGGAGGTCGCCACGGGTTACTGCGTGAAGACGCTCGTTGGCCACAGGGAGTGGGTCAGGATGGCGAGAGTCAGCCCTTGTGGGGAGCTCATTGCCAGTTGTTCAAACGACCAGACAGTCAGGGTCTGGCACGTCGCTACCAAGGAGACCAAGGTGCGAACTCGTTCCAGCTAATAACAGCGACTTTTCTCCTCGGACTGAAAGAAGTCTCGCGGGCTAAAACAAATGTCACTGTACCGTATGAGCGCTTTTCGTTCGATCTCTCGCTATTACAAGGGTTAATTCGGCACCTGCCTAACTTTAACTTTATCGTTTTTCAGGTCGAACTTAGGGATCACGATCACGTAGTGGAGTGCATCGCTTGGGCCCCTGAGTGTGCCCGGGCATCTATAAACGCGGGCGCGGGTGCCGACAACAAGGGAGCCCACGAGGGGCCCTTCCTGGCTTCGGGATCGCGAGACAAGACCATCCGGGTCTGGGACGTCGGTGGCGGGGTCTGCCTCTTTACCCTCCTGGGACATGACAATTGGGTCCGCGGCATCGTCTTCCACCCCGCCGGCAAGTTCATGGTCAGCGCCTCTGACGACAAGACGTTGCGGGTGTGGGATATGCGCAACAAGCGAGCGATGAAGACGATCGAGGCCCACGTACACTTCTGCACCTCCGTAGGCAAGTATAGGTTCAACTTCTCTTGCACTCGAGATCGTTGAAGAGCAAAGTCTCATCGGAAGACACGAGTTACGCGCGTCTTGGGATTGGGATAATCCTTGAGTTGTTCACTAGATGTATTTTGAATCATTGAGCAGATCCTAGTGGCACGGTATCAATGGAGTCATCTGGTTTCAGATTTCCACAAGAGCCACCCATACGTGGTAAGCGGTAGCGTAGATCAAACGGTGAAAATCTGGGAATGCCGCTAGTCACCCCGGCCCGGGTCGAATCCCATCTTTCGCCCTCTGTCACGCGAGAGGGGGGGGGGGAAGAGGGAGGCACGTGGAAAGTATATGAGGTCAAAATCGAAGGAAAACCATGTACTCGAGTACAGTCCACAGTGGGTACGGCGACGAGAGAGTGCAAACGCTGTTGAGATAAGCTCTATCGTACATACTACTACTCCTACTATTACTACTATTATATAGATATATATACACACATAACACATGAAACACATACGGTTAGGAGCTCTTTAATTAATTTATAATAAAGTATAATTAGTGATTAATATTATAAATATATATATGATGATGATGGTCGTTTAACGATGACGAAGTATACACGTACACTTTGGGACGATAGAAAAGATGAACGAGATAGAAACGAAAACAGCGTGGGAAGAGGAAAAAAGAAAGAAAGAGTCGGGGCCGAGACTCACGAAAACGGAGAGGACGTCTCCCCTGGGGATCGTCGAGATCCTGTTTCGCCAGCCCGAAGGACGACGACGAATTCGTTTCCTTGCGTTTGTCGCCCAATGCTCTTGTATATATATATACATACATATATATATATATACACATGTATTGATATGTCCGGCTGCATGGTCGAGTAATCGCTGTACGTTTCAGGGTATACCGAGTTGTGCACGCTTGCGTTAGCGCTTATTTCGGGACAAGTAAGGAAAGTCGCCGATATCCAACGCTGGATACACCGGAGTTATACCCGGTAGGGTGGATAAGGCGTAGAGCTCCTCGCCGAGACGATCGCTCTTTCTTATTTCCACTGGTGACGAATCGTCACTTAGTGTACCGTACATTGCGCGTCGCGATATACAATTGACGCGTAATACCCGTACACTCGCCATCTCCTTGGGCTGCCCACTCAGACCCTGGACACGACGGCGACTGTCGCAACTGCGATTACGATTACGATTACGATGCTGTTCCCTTTATTTATATTACACGTAATTGTTGTACCGCCAACACGCGCGCGTACACTCAAGGACGCGACTTATGCTGTATTGATACATTAAGCATTGGTATTCCACGCGAGGTCGAGACTACTTTGCGTACGTATTGTATTAGGCGAAACAAAAGTCTTTTGCCCCGTCGAGGCTCGTAGCGTGATCATGTAGAATCTGCCGGGATATTTAGAGAAACACGTGGTCGTAGATTCAATGTCCTCGTCCGTTACTTTTCATTAACAGAGAATCTCTTGCTTATTGAAATTTCGTGCCGTTACCATTAGCCGAAGTCCTCGGGCGGAATTTTTAAAAGTGACTAGCTTCTCTCTCTTTCTCTTTTTTCCCTCTTTCAAACAGGAAGTAAATGACTTGGACATTGAGTTTAACGGGCCTGTAGATTAGTGTAAATTTTCTCTGGCTAGTTTTTCACACGAGCTTAAGTCACTCGATGCTGCTTCGTCCCGTATGTTCCGTACACCGAAGACACAAGCATGCACACACGATTATTACACGATCGCACGCCATCCCGGGACACATTATATATACATATATATATATGATCCACCCTCGTGCATACGCGTATATTATTATATTATATTAATACTTTTAGCCTGACACTGGCGAATTTCAGCGACTGAGACGCCGCGTTTTCATTACCGCCAGGTTGCCGCGCGATCGTTATATCACATCGAGTCATTAAACGTTTTACGTTCACTTGTTAATACAACATTGCGACGATTAAGTTTACTCTCTCTCTCTTTCTCTCTCTCTCTCACACACGGCGGCTGTAACTCTTAGGACGATCGCCTTTTCCAAATGTGTATATCCAGTCGTTTCGTGCGACCTTTTCCGGGTAAATGAAATACTTATTTGAATGCTTTTCCATCGCCTACGGTGGATTTTTTTAAACAACGCGAGTGGCTTTCGTTTTATCTTTATTATCGTTATTAGAAAATACGCTCGGAGTATAAGTGCACGCGGTGGAGTTATTTTGGACACCTAGAGCGAAGGTCCCGTCTCTTTCTTTCTATCTCCCTCCCTCTCGATGATTTTATGCGAATTGATCTGGATGATTTAAGTGAGAACAATCGTGCTCAAGGTCCACTTTGCGACTCGAGGAATGATTTCCATGTGATATAGACCATCGCGAGAGGCTTCTATGCGCGCGAGATTATGTTATCACGCCCAAAGAAGAACGAACCCTCCCGGGTCGGGACGAGCAGGGGTCGGCACCTTGGAGAGGGCGGACCTCGAAGAGACGTCCTAATAAACAGCTGCGAGCTCGTTTCCGTAGTCTCGGCTCTGCGGGATCGCGGAGATGCGGTGACAATTGAATTGAAGCTGGTACTTCGGGCGCGAATCCGATCGGGGATGAAATTTCCCGGAGGCTTTTTCATTTCGCCAGCGCTTGGCGTCCGATCGACGTGCATTATTAATATAATACTATATATATATATACATACATGAATACAATTAGAGACAGTCGAGTAGTGCGTGCGAACTTAAGCGTAATGCGAGAATAATCGTAAATCCCGCCCCTCCCCCCCCCCCGCTCGCAAACTGAATTTATTAATCGTAAAATGCATACTTGTACGAGGAAAACGTAGCTGCGTGTAGCTTTTTTTGAACGGGGTCTTTGACGCGCGAGGTAATATATATATATACATACGAATGTAGTTGCACGTTGCTGCGACACCGTTAATAATTACTAGAATAGTAGTTTTCGGAACCTTTTCACGCGGAGGAACGGAACATTCTGTCCGAGGAGGATCCGGATCTTCCCCGGACACGGGGATAGGTTCCGCGTTTTCCTTTTCTCCGGGGTTTTGACGCACGGGCCGGTAGGACTTGCGTTCACCTCGTCGAGCACTGAATTTTATAAGGAGACGTTTAATCGGAGGAACGTTAGACTTACTAAAAGAGAGGAGACGGCGCTTGGTATCCCTCGGTAACGATGTAGCGACTCGGAAATCCAAGAACCCGAGGGGGTGAGGGGGTTAATTCGGTAAATCTGGAAGTTGCTCAAGCGAAGATTCACTCCACGTGGAATTGCCTAAAAATGTGAAGTTTTTAAATATCCGGTAATGAAGAAACGCGATTTGCTCGGTAAAGGACGTCGGGAGTGATGCTTTTATTTCGCCGCCGAGGGGTTTCAGATTTTTGGGATGTTCCACGTTTAGTAGATTTTCGTATACGGGGATCCTATGAGGCTCGTTTGACTTTCTCGAAAGGCTTGGATTTCCCAGAACTTCGGTAGACGTATGCTAGATGTTCGAATTAGCGACGCATCGTCGATATTCCGGTTTCTTCGGGCTTAGGGGAGCAGTGTTTATAATTTCTTTTGAAAAATTCTTTATTCCCTTGTCCAAAGAGTCCAACGAGTGCGACTGCTTCGGCGAAGGTAGACCGCCGAGGTGTTATGGTTTTATTCCCTTCCTCTGCTTTTTATAGCGAATTTCGAACTTGGGAGTAATGCAGGTCCTACTGTTCGTGTGCTAATTATTCGAGAAGTAGTATACCATGTTTGGCCAGTGCCCAGGACTGACTCCACTTCCCTTCCTCGCTTTGACCGATACTACATATTGTGCAGTCATCTACCATTTACTATCCGGGACCCGCGAGAGACCCCTCGATCGATGTGGTACTAAATTATTTTGGTGAATAATAAACGAAATTCTCACTGATCTAGCCAGTATCATTACTTGTCGGGTTTCGACTTGGAAGACAGTCGCCAGATTTTAGACCAATAGCTAGACCACGTGAGGAGCTCCTTCGATTTTCTTTAATACCCACCTAAGTATATTAGCGGTACTAGTTGTAATCGTAGTAGTAGTAGTAAGCGTTTATGTTGGTAATTTTGATTTATAATTAATTATTTTTATTACAGTAGGCAGAAAGTACAAAAGAACAGGAAATTGAGGTGCGACAAAATGGTTTCGGAGAATGTTGAGGGCAAAATCACTTTTTTCCTTTAACATTCTACGGCAGATGTTACGTATATTTTCTTAGTGTTTATTATGGAATTATTTTTGTTAACGTAGGGTCAATTCGAAAGTGGAATTATATGGGGTGAGCGAGGTTTTCTTTTCGGAACCACTTTGCGGTGTTTCGTGATTTTTCCTTGTATTCGAACGCGACGTAAGATGGCGCGACTGTCGACCTAACTAGATCAAGTTAGGTCAAGTCAAGATGGCGGACAATCGATTTTTCCGGCAGGTCGGAGACGCGATTATTTTTCGAATCCTCTTCTAATGTTCTCCAGTGGCCGTGTGGGTTCCTCAAAATTGGACAAAGTTTATTTAAGTCGTAGGACACGTCGCTTTTAGTTTGCTGGAATTTTATTTTGAGTCGTGAACGATTCGATTTCGGGAAAGGGTCGTGATAACTGGATCCGCATCAACGTGGACGAAGTTCCTGTACGATTCCTTATTGTTTGATGATCCTCTCGAAAAAAGAAGCGCACGTCTAGATGAGTGGCAAAAAGGAAGAGCACAGCTGCGTGCTGTGCGATTCGAAATTGGAATCCAAGGAGGCCTTGCAAAAACACTTTAGGTATCGTATGGTTCCTGATCTCTGGTTGAGCATCAATGAATGTTTGATGGAATTCTTTAAATTATTGGCAATGTTTTACTTAGTAATTACTAACTACAAATTGAGTCGTAATTATAAACCGACGGGAGGAAATCAGTGTAGGAGAAATTTAATTGTTAATGAAGTCGTTTTGAAGAGTCGTTTGACATTTGCCAGTGTATCGTTCTGCTTTATCGACGGAGTGGGCATTTGTTAACCCTTTCCGTCCAGGGTAATGATTTTGAATGAAGCATTGTTTCTGAATAGCTGCAAAGTGTCTTTTGTTATGAGTTTATTTTGGAAAGAGATTTTATCAACTATAAGATATATGTAATGAATGAGATGTATCATGTCAATAGGTGAAAAATGAAATCATATTTTTGTAGGAAACATGCTAATAAGGAAATAGATACTCGTGGACGGCCTGTGAAGAAGTCGAAGACCGATGATGCAAATTGTGACATATGTGGCCAGTCCTTTGATACAATTACACAGACGATAAGACATAGATTCAAAATGCATCCGAATTCTCCAACAAAATTCTATTGTCATCATTGCGGCAAGCAATTTCCTTTAAAGGTATTACCTTCTTTTCATGATAGATTTATTCGATATTTAGAAGATTTATTCTACCTTTACAAAGATGGCGATGTGGAACAATTGCAGACACACAGGGACAGTCATCTTGCTTCGCACGATCCATTGGAGGACTACAGGAAAGAGGATCACAGGAAATGTGCAGATTGTGATGTTTGGTTTACTAACCAAAAAGCAATGGATTACCATTATCGTTCTGTGCACAAAAGGTATTTGCACAATTTTGAACGTGGGTAAAAATGTAATACTAGTATTAACCTGTATAGTAATAATACATTCCTTTCCTGGCAGAATCGTGCGGTTATTTCAACCGATAGCTACGCCACCACCGAGTAATAAAATCAAAGTGAATTCTATGAATGATGCACTGAGTGTCTATTACTGCCACCTCTGTGGTACGGAGTACGTGGTAAAATTCAATTTACAGCAGCATTTAGAAAAAGCGCATACGAAGGTACAATGAAACATGAAATTGCGATATTGTAATATAATAAAAGATTAACTTTATGTATTTTTCATGCTGCTTTACAATCGATGTTTGATTCAAAATATTTTGGCATTTTTCTGTGAACCATAGGAAGAGAGAGAAGCAGTACCCGAAGATTTAATCAAGTGTACTATGTGTGCTGCATTATTTTGTAGTAAAAAGGCTTATGAAGCTCACAATAATTACCATCAACCAGATGATTTATATGTAACATCCGAAGAGCAGAGGTTACAAACGGTTACTAAAGTCGACCAAGACTTTGATATTAGAAGAGTGGAAACGGTAGCGGATAAGTATGTGCCGAAAACTAATCTGCCCAAAAGGGTAGCTAAGCCTCAGCCAAAGGTAGGTCAATTATATTTGCAATTTATCATTAGCCACATAATAATTACTTTACCATCATAGGTAAGGAAACATCGAAAAGTCCAACAAAGCAACAAAGCACAACGGAACGAAGAAAATGATGATCACGATTACTCATCCTCTGATGACAATCCTGGAGAGTCAAAGGATTCCAGTGACTCGGAGAGCGATTCTCCTCTGCTGCACAGGTTAAATTCGAGCTAACGGGATTTTATTTATTAATCAAGATTTACCATATTAAGGAACGTATTATATTGTACTTTAAAAAAAAATACTGCCATAAGCTTGCCTCTATCTTCACTCATTTGATGATAACTCTTTCTCCTTTTCGATGGGTACTTTCTTAAGCATTTACATCAACATTTATACATTGAGATTTATCTTCTCTACTATTACAAAGTAGTAAAAATAAATCTGATATATTTTCTGTTGCTAATAGATTGCCAACAAACATGACTAATGTGCAATCTTTTGTACAAAAAATTAATTAAGTGGCGCAAGTTATACACATGACGATCAGTTGGTGTCTGTAAATTATATTACTCGAGTTTGTTTGTAGAAAACATTAGTAGTGACTAAGAATGTTAACAAATTAAAGTAAGAAAGAAGTGCAATTTATATTGACAGTAGGCAAAAATGACGTCATCCGCGCGTCAAAGGTCACTAGCCCCGAGTCGCAGTTCGAGGTTGCGCTCCCATTCGTGGAGCTGGTTGCAGCCCGACGCTTAGCGAAACGAACCGAAGTCCGTGCTGCCTTTAATTAAGGAATGGATTGTCAGTTCTCTTATCCGTCTCCCTAGCTCCCTCTCTGTCCTTCCATTCTCCTAGATCCAGTTCATGGAAACGTCACGTGATCAAGTGACCACATGACCTCATCGTTCACCCGTTTCTCCCCGAATCAGTTTAGTATAAGCGAATTATTTTTTTTCGTTTGGAAAAGTTTAACAATGAAATGCAAAGGACGTAGAAAAAATAGTACCATCGAAAAATTCAAGAAATTTAAGCTTCACGATTTTTATGGCATAAGTGATTAAGGAACGACGTTCGAAATGTGAGCTGTTAATTTCGATGTTCAAATATCGGAATTGTGCAGTTTGACACATTTAATGGTGAATAGTTGTAGGATCTGATTTTAAAGAACGATCCTTTACCGCGAATTGCCCCAGCATCCTTCGACGTAAATGTTAAAATTAGCGATTTGGTCACGGGAAAGGTTGTTTCCCGTTCTATTTTTTATGCTTTTTAACCGGCGAGCAGTTTTGACCTTTCTCTTTCTACCTGGCGTGCGACCCGGCGCGATCTTATTCCCCGGTAATTCGGTCCTTCTCGTTCTCACGTAACGTCCCCTCACGTCATCTCATTCTCTCCGTCGGTCTCCAGCGCTCGGTTTCGTTTCGCGTCTTGACCTCCTGCTCTCCCGCGTCTGCCCGTTCGCCGCCATCTTGCATCGCCGCGTCGCGCTCTCTCTCCGTCTCCGTCGAGCGCCATCGTCTTACATAACGGCGTCTGCCTCTGCTCGACCTCTCTCTTTTGCGCGTTATCTTGCATCGCGCTTCTTCTCCGTCTCCGTCGCGCTCCTTTGTTTTACGTGACGGCGTCTGCCTCTGTTCGGTCTCTCTCTCTCTCGCGCGCCGCCATATTGCATCGCGGCGTCGCGCTTTCGCGCCGTCTCCCTCGCTCGTGCGCGCATCGCGTAGCAGTGTTTCACCTCCCGGGCGTCTCTCTCGCGCTTGCCGCCCGATGGCGCTGTCTGTCCTGCGTCGCGATCTCGTCGAGGCGGCGGACGGTGAGGTTATGAACGTCGGCCGCTGCAAAACGCGGGGTGCGGTAAGGTCGCGCGCCTGGTCGGCCGAAAGTGTCATGCCGCACGCAGATCTAGTGTCCGTGGGTCTACCAATGCCCCGAGAACGGTGAGCCGAGAGTTCTGCGCGTCGCAGCAGCCCGCGAATCCCCGAGGACAGCCTCGAGCCAGCGGTTCCGGCCAGAGTCGTGACCTCCAGGTGGTCCAGACCGACTTCGCTGACGAGTGAGTAGAGTGAGGCAAAAAGTATGGGTTATGTGACCCTCTCGACTCTCTCCTCGACTCGCGGACGTCGCCGCGTCGATCGTATGCTCGTCTCGTCCCCGAGGGTTCGATTTACCTAACCTAAAGAGTGCGAATTCGACCCGCGGCTAGTCGGGGGGGAGAGGTTACGTCTCTAGCAGAGAAGGACCGTTTCTAACCTCACCCACGAAGGCGCACGAGTCTCCTTTCACCCGGTATCGTACAGTGGTTCCTGCTCCCACAGTAAAGCAGAGAAACTCTTCGTTTACCGACAGAGCCGATCGATCGCGACATGTCTGCGGTTACCGACCCTTGTCAAACTATTTTTTCTACTAACTATTGATAGTAAGCTGTTTTGCTAGGCTCGTCTATCTAAAGTGTCAATTCATCGACAATCATTTGTTATGTACTTCCGTGCGATCACATTTAATAAACAGGAGTAACGATGTTCATGGGGAAATAATTTGACATAGGTAACGGGAGGTTAGAAGCTTCTAGCATAGTTATCGAAGACTATTAGCGTATCCATTAGTTTACACTCGGGTCTATTCTCTGTCACTTTCACTTAACTTTCAAGTGTACACTTTTAAATTCCCATCTTACATCTTGCTTCATGTAATTATAACGTCAACGATGCTTCCAAGGGGGAGAAAAAGTCTCAATTAAAAAAACTTTGTTAATATCTTGACTGCGAAAACAAATGACGAGTGTACAATTTCAAAGGGATTGCCGATCACTGGTGACCACCTTGGTAGTCAACGTGTTAATCATCGTTCCGCAGGGCACAATGTGAATCTCTTTCGATGTTAAGAATTTTCTAATTACCACTCATAGTAGTTTGAACGTATCTGGTTAATTGTTGGCGAAAGTCCTGATGCATATTCCAACTTTCAGAACAGGGGAACGGAGCACAGTCGAGGTGGACCAGGCATCGAGTGGTATTGGAGGTCTCAGCGTTATCCACCGAGCGCTCTCGATTCCGGTGACCTTTACAAGGACATCCTCTAGTGACCCTCCGTAGGTGTATAAATAACCTTGCCACATAGAGCGTCGTGCTTCAAGTTGGGGATAATCGATTCCGCCGATGCGCCCCGTCGACGTCACCGGGAGATGTGACCCGGGGTACGGAGAGACGAAGACCTGCCAAACTCGTCGTTTTCGTTTACCGGTCGACACCTGCTGCACGCTCGCCGGGTAAGGATGTCTCTTAGGAAGTGCGCGTGACTCGAAGTACCCACGTGGTCCGGCAAGATGGCGGAAGCTCAAGGTGAGTCCATGGTAAACGGCGCGGCACCCGAAGAGGTCGCTGCGGACGCGGGTGGTCGCGCCACGAACGAAGAGGGTGCAAACAAGAGGAGCGACCCCACCAGCGCCGTGGAGAACGCCAGCATAAAGATGGAGGCGGGAGATTCGAGCGGGGATCAAACCAGATCCGACGAGGCGGTTCTGGAGGCGTCGGAGAACCTTGAGAAACGTGAATCGGAAGTAGAGAATTCCGAGGAAACACCTACCGCACTTTCGAAAGATACCAAGGTAAGGGAGGATAGGTGCTCGGGCAATCTAGGGGAGACCAAGGAGACCACGGAGGAGCAGAAGGAGGTAGGAGCTGACGAGGACAAGTCCGAGTCGAAGGAAAAGACCTCCGGGCAGGCTACCCCAAGGGACGGGGTACCCCCGGAGAAAGACCTACCGGAAAACCTTCCAGAGGGGAAAGAAGAGGAGCAGAAACCTCGGCCCCAGGCGGTTTCCAAGTCCTCGAAGAGGAAGCTGGACCCCAAAAGTGAGTACCAGGAGGAGAGCAGACCCAAGGAGAAGAAGTCGACGAGCGCGGAGGCTGCTGGCAAGTCGGAAGCGGGATCCGGAGCCACCGTGAAAGAGAAGGACCGGAGACGCGGCTCCGGGAGGAGAGGCAGCGAAGAAACCAGGGCGGACGCGGGGTCCGGGGGCGGTGAGTCGAGAGACCGGGTCGTTAAGGAGCAGGATTGTCAGTTTCGGGACGAGGACTCGAGGCTGGAGGGCTCGGAAGTCGGCATCGTCGGCCCTCCCACCGCCGTCAGGGACCTCGTCAGCGAGGAGGAGCTCAGGACGGAATCTGACTTGCCGACCGAGGGCAAGGCGCAGCTGCAAGACCACGTAGCCGAGTGGGTGCAGAACTCGGTCAAGCCGGAGGGGGAGCTGGAGCGACTCGAGGACGACGAGGAGGGCGTCGAGTCTCGCGGCGAGGTCGCCGATGGCTCCCTCGGGAAGCCCAGGAAGGGCAGCGAGCCCGTCGGAGCGGCCTTAGCTTCCAGGAAGTCCCAGCGCGTCGTCGTCAGCAATATCATCAAGAAGAGCATCAAGTGGTAAGTCACCCTCTGACCGATATACACGGCCACTTGGAAGCCCACGAGGTCGCCGCGAATGCGGATCTGGGATGCAGAGGCGGCTTATTAGTCATGGCTCGACGCTGGGCGGGAACTAGTACCTCGGCTCCGAGCAGCTGGGGTCATTCCGGGTCAAGTCGGACCAATTGTAGAGCGACCATTCCTGCGACAGCTCCGCGGCGCTAGATCGAAACGCGGGCCCCTCTTCGCCCGAATCCGTTTTCGACGGTTTTAAGAACCTACGTAGACACTCGAATGCGGTCTTCCTGGGAGACCGTGCCTCGATGTCTACGCACGAGGCCACGTTTTATAGATAGACGAAATCCACGAGATTATCATACATGTATTCTTATGATGTACATATGGAACATTTGTGCGTCATCGGCACATGGAAGTTTTAAGTAGTTTGACGTGAATTCGGAGGCTCTTGAAAAACTAGAGACGCTTATGTACCGATTGGCGGCTCCGATGGAATTAATTACGGACAATGCATTTTGGTCTCTTTTGTGGACGGTTTCGCGCGTCTTAGACATTTCGACGGGGATGTCGTTGTAGTGCCATCGATAGGCTATTTTGTCATTGCCTTTTGAAGAATTCCTGCATTTGTGAAAATCGAATTCGGTAATTCGTTTTGGGGTATTCTTCGGAGTGGCAGGTTTTAAATTAGGTTAAATTAATTTTAACAATGCGTTTCGATTTTCCGTGGACGATATCCCCCGCGGTGGATATTCGACCCCGTTCGAGGGAGCACAATGCTGTGCCGTATCTGCAACTAATATCAGGTGATTACACGAACAGCGACTGATTGCGAGGCGATTCTTGCGGCCGCTGTCAAGGATACGAGGCGAGAGATGAGGCTCAGATTTTTCATGGCCATGGTATTGTTCGATTTGTGGTTTTAACGGCCCACTAATTAGGAATTAGGTACGCGTGTGAGGTAGCCGGGGTGATTTCGTTGGGAGTACCGTGGACGTTTACTTTTCACCTCTAATCGGAGGGTCAACTGCCACTTCGGGTTTGGCGATGCCTCGTAAATTCCTAAAAATAATGTCGGCTCGCTTGGTTTTGATCTCCCGTGAATCATTTGGTTCCTGGAGCTCGGATCGTTGACCTGGTTCGAGGTATCCTATCGCGAGGGGGCATCTGTAACTAATATTACGGGATTGTTCGTATGCCTGCCAAATTTACACCGAATACAATTGCGAGGGGTCGGGCAATTCCACCTCGAGTAATTACGAGGTGCTTTGGTTCTCCTTGAGTCTCTGTAGGTTGTGGCGAATTGCGGAGAGTTCCGACAAACAAAGAAAAAAAAAAAAAAGAAAAAAATTGTGGAGACGGCTCTCCAGCGTCGCAGTTATATTTATATTGACAATCGATATCTTATTTTATCTTGAAGTTCCACGAGCTATGATACGTTCGGAGAATCCTGGAGGATTGTTGACGAGGTTTTTGAAGAACAGGGTCTTGGAGCCCTTCTTCGGAGAGGGAACTTCTTGGGCTAGGGTTATCGGTTGGTACCGTTGCATTTAAATTGGTTCCGAAATAGAGACCAAGCCACACCGAGGCTTAGGATTAGGATTAGGAGGCTCAAGAAAATTATCACGGATATCATGGAAGTGCACCGTTCCCAAGGTGCTCTCGAGCTAGAAGCTCATCGTCGAGGAATTACACGCGGTTTAATAAGTGGTTTCTTAGAGGCGAAGAGCCGAGGTTAACCTCGCCTTGCGTCGAGGAGCGACGAGGGAACGGTTCCGGAGGAGTTCTCCAGGAATCTCGAGACAAGGGATCCATATCTGTCGAGAAGACCGGCGCCGAATGCGACCTTGAAGCGGGGACCAACGGGATCCAAGAAGTACAACATGAAATTCTGAGGAGAAATAACGGCAGCCGTGAAGTCCCCTTCTATCAAGGTCTTCAAGGTACCCAATGCCGAACGGCTGAACGACGTCCTCGGAATTTTCAGGCTCTAGGAGGAGACTAGGATTAGAAGGTTTTGCCCGGAGACCGTTCTCCAGCTCCGAGAATACGGAACGGTTCACCGCCTAGGAGGCTCTACCGTCCACTTAGACCTTGAAGCCCAAGGAACCCAATCCAAGGAGTAGGACGCAACGTTCGGAGAAACGGTAACGGCAAACACGAAAGTCCTCTTTTCCAAGGCTTGCCGAGGGTCCCAGTCCTCGTCGTGGCACCGCCACCTCCCGTTCTAACGCCGCTGTGCCATGGATCCGGTGAAATGTCGTCGATCGCCAAGTCCGCCTTGATCCGGGCAGAAAATCCCAATGGGGTCGAGGTGAGACGAATGAAATTAGCCGATGGTGCGTCCACTCGCCGCGTAGGTGATCTCTGCGCGCTAAATACCACGGGGATCGATACCTCAAAGAGCGCGTCCCTTTGGCACTTCATTCTGGCTTCCTCGGGCCTGGCCTTGGAACCAAGGACGCGAATTCGGGACGACACCTCGCGCTTATGGCTCCGATCATGGTTCGGAGTCGGAGGATCGGTAAGACTCGACTCGGCGTCGCCGCGACCGACCTTCAAGAGAAACCGGGATTACTCGACCTCGAATCGATTTCATGGCACCACTAAACGGGCTGCTAACTGGTCCCGCGAGGACGTTCTCCAGCTGCCCCAGTAATCGTTTAATCTGTCTGAGAGATGGGTCCTCGAATCAGGCGGGATCTTCCCACCGTCAAACGATTTTCTTGGAATTATTTCAGATTAATTTGCGCGTATGATAATTTTAAGTTACGTAATCGGTGGATTCCGATGTGCTGAACCGCTTGAACCTCGGCCATTAGCGGGGTCTTCAAGGTCCGAGCAGGGTGTGTTCGCCATTGGTCGCCCCGGAAAGACTGGGCTGATAACGCCGAAGGGGGCCACCGGGATCGACCTTCAAGTTGTTTGGTTCGGACGATAAACGGGTTGGTACCGCGCGGTTTATTGATACAGTTGATTATCAGGTTGATGCCGATACCCTCTTAGTATCTGCCGTTGGCCTTGCGGTGTTTCGAGATTTCCTCTTCCTATCGGATGTTATTGGGCATTCGCCTCGCGAAACTCCTCCTCGGTCTCGGGCCGAGGAGACGTATGGGATAGCAAACGCCTTATCGACCTCGGAATTGAGGACGCTTCGGGGAATGGAGGCTCTTGCCGTGAGGGTACTCATTGAGACCACCGATCCATTGCGTTCTGTAATGCGATAGGCGTTCTGGTATCAGGGAAGAATCCCGAAGAGACTAGACCTTGATGACGGCTGGTACCGATTATTAGTATCAAGTCTTGGTGCCAATTGCTGATACCGGCAAGGCTAGATACCGATTGCTGGTGCCAAGGTCTGGTATCAATTTTCGATACCTGGAAGGCTGCACTACAATTACCGATACCGAGACATGGTTTCAATTTTTGGTATCAGGAAAGTTAGATACCGGGTATTGGTACCGATAATCTATCTTCAAATGTTGGTACCAGGTAGGTTTGGGGACAAAAGGTTGGTACCAGGAGGTTTTAGTACAAAAGGATATCCGGAAGACTTGTTACCGAACGGTATAATTTTTTGGCTGCTAAAATGCAGTTCAACTTCCTGTATTTTTTTTTTTCTTCATCCGCAAGGCTTCAATGTAAACGACCTCGAGGATAGCGAAAATCTTCCTCTTTTTACTTGGAACCTCGTATCATTTTTTGCAATTTAATGCGAGGTAGGTTTGGGACAAAAGGATGGTACCAGGAGGTTTTAGTACAAAAGGATATCCGGAAGACTTGATACCGAACGGTATAATTTTTTGGCTGCTAAAATGCAGTTCAACTTCCGGTATTTTTTTTTTTTTTCTTCATCCGCAAGGCTTCAATGTAAACGACCTCGAGGATAGCGAGAATCTTCCTCTTTTTACTTGGAACCTCGTATCATTTTTTGCAATTTAATGCAAGCAGTCTTGCTCTTCGCGTTTGATCCGGGCATTATCAGCTGGATTTAGAAGCTCGCGAGAAAATCGACCGATACCAGCGAGAAATGTTCTATACCAAGGATGGGTACCAACAACATAGCGACGCAGCTGATTAATTTGATGGCTAATGCAGGTCGTTCCTACGATACCGAGGATCTTGAAGACCGTCGACACGCCTCGCTTCCCATCGCTTTATCGATGATTAATCCCGCTTCCTATCTGGTCCTGGACGTATCAGTCGATAAGAATTTCCTGAGGGATTGGACCGATGCTCTCGAGGATCGAGCCCTGACGTATGACCTCAGGTTTTCGTGAAACATATATCGTTTATGAAACATTCACCCCCGAAGAGGTGTTGGCAGATTCTCGATAGCGTTTCTACTTTCCGAAAGGGAAGAGTTTAGCCGATCGAGATTCAGCTTTGCGATGATTATGGAGATGCCGATTAGCGTTTGCCATGACTGGAGCGTGGCAAGGTCCTTTTTTTCTCCGCGACGTCATCGGCCGTATCCTTGTCTCCTGGGTCGAACCTTCGACTTTACATTATCCACCGATAACGGTCCTTCCAGGAAATTCCTCCTACCCTCTCTCTTGGCTCGAAGATCAAACTCGTGGGAGAGGAATATTGACGCGCGATAACGCAGGTCGAATTTATCAATAAGAGACCTCGATCAGGCGACTGCCGAAGGTAGCTCCGATCTCTCCTTCGCCGTTAACCCGTACTCTCCACACTTTTAACACCTGTGTAGGCTTTTCTTTTTAATCCCACCTCCTCGGTAGAAGTCCTCCTGGAGAACGGTCTTAAGAACCCTCCCGGGCGTCTCTTCAGCATCTCAAAGGCTTGAACGTATCGCATCAAGGCGCAGACCCTGAAGAGCGACGTGAAATTCTTCGAGATATATTCTGGTGGTCTTCAGGGACGATAACGAAGCCTATCCGAATGATGTCACGGTATTATAAAAATTGCGCGAGTCCATCCGACGATCCCGACGAACGAATGCAGTCGTTGGCGGACTCCAATGGAACCTGAAGAGCGAC